TGTGAAGCAATGTATAATCGTCAAACTAAAAGACCAAGATTTTTTTCCAATATATTTTGATTTGATAAATACAAATCTGTTGTTTTATTTTAAAAAAAATCAAAAATAATTTTTTTTTTATTTATAGAACTTTTTTTTAAGTATAAATTTTCTATTATTTAAAACATTCAATATTTGAAAAAATAATTTATAACAAAATAGAAAATTAAATTATATGTATATATTAAAATAATAAGAATGGCTGTATAAAAAATTTTAATGACGTGATTTCGTAAAACGGTAAGTCACGGACATGTTTTTTTAACCAATATTTTAAAATCTGTTAATTTTTTCATGGGAGGTAAATCGTGTTGAACTGTGTAAGAAACAGTGGAGAACCTTATTTAAAAAAATATTCTTTCGCATTTTGTAAAAAAGTTGTTATTGTTATTTTTCGTGTACAAATATTTTTTTTAATAAATAATAATAATAAATAAAAATAATAATTTTTATTTTCAATATAAAAAATTGTAAAAAATATGTGAAATCAGGGGGCCCAGTAAAGATTTTCGCGGGGGGGGGGGGGCAAAATTTGGCCCGCTAGTGAGAGAGAATAAAGATTTTAAAACCAGTTTATTTACTGAGTACTTACCACCACAAACTTTGTGTTTTTCATTCATTTTTATGTAATTTCACTTACTTCACTAGCCGTGAATAATAATAATAGTAAGGAGCGAAATGGTCACTACTAAATAGTAAATTAAATTAAATCTTAAATATCGGGAAACATCTAAAATCTAGTCACCTGATTCTGGTGCCGCAAAGTATTATTGTATATATTCTATCATGGTGCCGCTACGTTGTATATTTTACTCACGTAGTTAGCGCCCTCTGTAGATTATATGGTTCAACTAAAATTGTACTTTTCTATATATATAGTCCAAGTGGCACCATCTGGAAATTTTGTAGGGATAATACTATGACACATTAGAGTTTATATATGAAATAAAACGTTCTGGCACCTTGAAATGGTGCCACAACGATTATATAGGTGCCACTTGGCCCATATATATCCGAATTTGGTGCCTTAACGCCTGTTTGTATATATATATATATATATATATATATATATATATATATATAAATTATTACACTTACCTTAAGTTTTAACATTAAATCAATTTTTTTGTTGATCAGTTAACAAAAAGAGCTAGAAATATGTAAAAAAATTTATTAATAATTATTACTATTAATATTACTTATGTGGTGATGTTCTCTTTAGCCAGTTCCCTTTACAGAAATTTCCAAACATTTTCTACAGGGTTTATGTCCGGGCCACCGCAAAAGTGGAACTGGAACTTTACATATTTCTAGTCCTTTTTGTAAATATTATGAAACTAAAGATTAATATAAAAAAATAATAAAAACCCTTGGTAATTTAAAATCCTTATATTTATTAGAAAAAAATTATGAAACATAAATAAACCTTAACTTTTTAACATTGTCTTACTTACATTCTAATTTATATTTCATATAATAATAAACCTAAACGCACAACAATCGGGATGGGCGGGCAAGCACGTCGCAACAGGATTAACAGGATTACTAAACTGTTTTTAAATTGTTTTCTTACTTGCACTTTTAGGTGGTGGGAAACAACAGGGCCTAATATTAATGTATTTAGACATTGGCTCAACGTATTTGGCGATAAAGTTATGATTTGTTGTATTATTTAATATGTTAGGGCATTATATTTTGCTAAGGGTACATAAGTTGATGTATATATAGGCATTAATGTAATAATTTTGGATTATTAAATTATACCATTTAGAGTATTACTCTATTAAGCCTTGACATTAATTTTATCACTGAGCAATGATTAACTAATGTACTCTAGGTTATTGATTTAATGTAAATAATCATCGTATTAATGTAAAATATCATTGTCTTAATGTATTTTGGCTAAAAAATAATAAAATTCTTGCACTAGGATAATGACCAGGCAGACATTGTGACAATCCAATAATACATTAACTCATATTTTTTAAGCATTATCATAATTACTTGATTGCATTAATACTATGAAAAGGACATTATCGTAATGATTTTGCACTTAATGATCGTAGGACATTAATATCAGGTACGATATTTTTTTCTGTGTGGTGTTTCAAAATAAGGCAATATTTTTCTTTTTTCAAATTCATGTAAAATTCTACTCACTTATGGTAACAAAATTCTGTCAAAATTTGAGCTCTTAATATTAATTTTAAAGTCCATCATCGAATTTGGAAAAATAGTTTTTTTAAGATTTATTTAGCCTGCATGCTATGTAGAACTTTTTTTTTTTGATAAACAATCACTGGTCCTTTTTTAGCATTAAATTATCTACAAAAAATCTTACAGAGTCCAGTCTGTAGATTCAACTGTTTCTTTTTTATTAACGTTGAAACGTATAAATTCTAAAAAAATTGATTATTTTACATTTAGCAGCTAAACCACTAATCGAAGAGAAAAAGTCAATCAGCAATTTTGAAGATCTTTTGTTGTTGTTCTACAAATTCCTTTTAAACAATTTATTTTTATCACGTACAGTTCAAAAGTTATAAGTGTCTAAAATCCTATTTTCTTGATTATGCATAATATATTATTATAATATTCACTGTAGGAAAAAAAGTTTTGGGAAAATTTTGCAGGAAACTCGAAGCACTATAAATAACGTAGATTCTTAAACACACTCAATTAATCGCTGAATTTAAGCTAAAATAGCTTAACTTTTATGATATTCTTAATTTCATTATCCAGCTTTTGACTGCAAATAAAATTTTATACTTCACTTCAAAAAAATTTTGATATACTGAAAATAATTTTAAACCTTAAGAGTAAGAGTATAATCTACAAACTGGACTCTGTAAGATTTTTTGTAGATAATTTAATGCTAAAAAAGGACGAGTGATTGTTTATCAAAAAAAAAAGTTTTACATAGTATGCAGGCGAAATAAATCTTAAAAACCTATTTTTTCATGTTTAATCAATGGGAAAATTTTAAATTCGGTGATGGACCTTTTAAAATTAATATTACAGACTGGACTCTGTAACATTTTTTGTAGATAATTTAATGCTAAAAAAGGACTAGTGATTGTTTATTAAAAAAAAGTTCTACATAGCTTGCAGGCGAAATAAATCTTAAAGAACTTTTTTTCCATGTAAATCAATGGGAAAACTTTAAATTTGACCTTTTAAAATTAATTTAAGAGCTCAAATTTTGACAGATTTTTTTTTAGCAGAAGTGACGAGAATATCACATGAATTTGAAGAAAAAAAAGCCCTATTTTGGAACACCCTACTATACAGTCTAAAAAGTTTGAAACAAAATTTTGCCCAACTACAGTCTCACGCACGAAGTCTCTAGAGCCTACTACACCTCAGACTATCTATTATACGGGTAAAGTCTGTCAAATTATTTGACTCAAATATACATCTAAGAATAACGTAACGTAGGTATGAGGCGTCATATGTTCCATAATCTCCTTTACGATATTTAAAAGGTTTGCAGGACAAACAATATATAGGTAGATCAAATTTACTACATTGCAATTTTGCATTTATATATTTAAAAATAAACGTTTTACATAAATTGATATACAGGGCGGTCAGGTTTTCTTTTCCATTATTTTCTAAATTCTATAATAATTATTATTATAATAGTTCTAAAATTTACATAAAACTATTAGGTATACGTTATAATATTAATATTTTTCTATGTACCTATAGGTATACTTATAATATAAAAAATGGCGTCAACCAAAGGATAATTAAAGGTTAATATAATTTTTATAAACAGAAAACATTTGTATTTTAATGGTTTGTTAGAGTCCAATTAGCTTGATGGTGATTATTTCCGTATATGGATATTTTATGGTAAAATATACAAACATTAGCCTAAAAAAATTTAATATTTTTAATTAAAACATTCCCGTAAAGGCTCAGAAAAGCTTGATTATTTTATTATAATAGATATATCTCAATACAAAATACAAAATTATTAAATACTTATGTACGCAGTAAACTAGAAGTTGCCGATGGCACAGCTTTAATAAATTGGGATTAATTACATCGTCTTTAAACGGTTGTTAGTCCATTTTATAGGAATATATTTCAATTTTTAAAGAAAAATTTGAAAAAACAGATTCCTAGCACCAATTTTGGTTTCTAGTTTTTTAATAGTTGTCGCTCTTTATAAATATTTCAATTTATTATTACAAAATTATTTTTTATACGTATTTTCGACGTAGAAAAAGTATAGTATGCAAGCTTCGTGTAAATGGCGTTTAAACTTGATACTAACATAAAATAATAAATTTTATTGATGGTTTTTTACGTTAGTTTTAAAGTCTATAACAAATAAAATTTAGTCTATTAAATTCGGGTGGTATTTTATAAAAAAATGGGTATTAATTGGTAATATTATAATAATACAATAAAATAATAATTATAATAATTATTTATCCTCAAGAAAAAATTCTGGCCGCTGTATAAATCCTTTCAGTTTTGGTTAAAAAACAAGGATTTTAACAGGCAAAATTTTGAAAAAATAAACAACTTTTTTTAATTTGATATCTTTAAGTATTATTTTCAAATTTTAGATGTTAAAAGTGAAACATGTACAAATATTCTCAAAAATGATACTAAACCACAATCTTGGTGTCGAAAAAATGGTAAGTTTTATTACATTTTGTTAACCTCAAATTAAGATTAATTTAAATTTTATTCGCCTACTATAATAAACTTTTAGGAAATATTTATCCAAAAAACTCTAAAACCTCTCCTGAAAGACTTGGGCCGGATATTAAATTAGGTAGCAAATTGTATTTTTTATTAAAAGGATGTGATGGCTGTAACATAAAATTTAAAAAATTATTTGAGGAATCGTTTACAAAAAATAATTGGCAAGAAAAACTTATTCAAACAAACCAAAGCAATTCGAAAAGTTTTACTTTAGATGTTTCAATCGTTTCTCCAAAAATAAAGAAAAATAATAAATGTAACGAAAACAATATTGGTATTGCTGAAATTCAAAATTGTCAATCTGAATTATTCAGAAAATATGAATTAGACTTTACATCCTATAATTATGAATGTAGAAGCCTTCTAGAAGGAAATTTCTTCAAAATGAAGATGGCTTCCAAAGACAAACTACCACTATGTACAAAAGGTATGGAATGGGACAGTGGTACTCATGTTTGTACAAAAACTAAATGTTATTGCATACCTGGTTATAAAGGAAAACATTGTGAAGAAGGTAAGATTGTATGATTAAAATGTGGCAACATTGGAGTTGATGTAATTTATATGTTACGAGCATTTAGTAAAAATTAGAAGATTTTTTTCTAAAATTTTACAAAGAGTTAAAGTTTTGTGTACTAAATTAATTTTACCAAACAAACCAATTTTAACAATTAACAACAAATGAAAAATATTTTCATTGCTGTTAATTGTTGAAATTGTTTTATTTGGTATTTTGGTAAAATGAATTGGCCAATATTATTTTTCACGTATCTGACTTGTTTGGTGGTCCGAAAATATTAAAAGGAGTTTTTCTCGAAAATCATCTATTTCAAACAAAACTTTTTTGGATTTTGGAAAAATTGTATTTTAGAAAAGAGTTCAGAATAACATATCAAATGGCAATTGTAAAAGAAAGACTGGTGTTTGTTTTACAATTATATATTTTTAAATTTGGATTCATCCCTATTAAAACAAGTATAACAAGTTTTGTTAGAAATTTGCATTTTATTTGGAAGATATTCATAAAAGTTTAATTAAAAAAATAATTTTTGACACCCTGTGTTCCCGAAAGAAAGCATTTTAGGACATAAGTTTATCTGTACTTTTTTTCTTAAAATGTCGAAATGCGCCCCGAAGTTACTTAGAAAATACACTGAATAAAAAATATTTTTTTATTAATTGAAGGGATAAGAAGCAAGTGTAGTTTTTAGTCCAACTTTTGTTTTAAATTTTCTTATAACGTTAAAATTGTACAAGTTCTACATATTGATTAATGCAAACATTGAAACAAGTATCCAGATTTTTGTGTGTAGCAAAAACTTTAAAGTTTAAATAAAAAATTCTAACTCTAAAACTCCTTTATCAATCTTTATAAAATTTTGGATAAAAATACTTTAACTTTAACTCTCAGTTTATGTGTTCAAGGGGTTTTCGAGAAAATATCCTTAAAGCCTTTTATTTAATAATAAAAAAACGCTCGAAAAAAACTTATTTTTGTAAGTATACCCTGAAAATTTTGTACAAATCAAACAAATAGTAACGAAAATACAGCGCATTAAAGTCAAAAATGACCTTTTCAGCAAAATAATCAAAAAGGGGTAATTTTTACCGACTTTGAAGGGTTTACTAATAAAATTACGGTCTTTAACAGCATATTTTTTATTTACTTAAAAAAAATTTACTTAAAAAAAATTTTTCAAACGTTTTTTTATTATTAAATAAAAGGGCTTTAAACATATTTTCTCGAAAAACCCTCGAACACGTAAACTGAGATATAAGTATTTTTATAAAAAATTTCATAAAGATTAGTAAAGGCGTTTTAGAGTTAGATTTTTTTTATTTATTATGCGTTAATTTTGAAGCGCAGTGTAGTAAAGTAAATTTGGGAAAATCTTTGCCTACAAAAAACATTATCCAGGTGGGAACCTTTTTTTTTCGTAAATAGCAGAAATTTTTCCTATTATTTTATTTTGAGCTATTGTGACTGAATTATCAGGGCCGTGCGCAGGATTTGCTCCTGGGGGAGGGGGTTATCAAATTTTATAAAAAATATATATCTTTAAGTTAACCCCCTCACCGTGTATATTTTATTAACTACAGAATAGTCGATAGATAGAACTCGCAAAAATAAGAGGAAAAGTCTATATAAATTTGTATATTTTAAAGCTTAGTTTTCGAGTTACAGAGTTGTTAAGTTATATAAAAAATATTTCTTTTTCCAAATATTCTAAACCCATAAAAATGCAATGGCGTAAACATAATTTACATAACTTTATAACATTTAAAAGACAAAGCTTTAAAGTATACAAGTTGGTATAAACTTTTTTCTTATTTTTGCTATTAAATATTCCCAATTAAAATCTGAGACATAAAAGTTTTGCATTTAGGCTGAAAATTAAACTTAAATAATTTACAACGTAAACTATATGCTTATTTTTGTCGATTTATAATTCATATTTATATTTATATATAATTATAATATAATTATTATTAATTAAAACAATCAATAAATTCAAAAAAAGCTCAGAGAACCTTCTATATTAAATTGTATAAAAACATATAAAAAATTACAAATATTTTAAACTTTTAACCATAAAAATAAAATCAAAACAATTTTTGATTTTATATTTTATATTTCTTTTAAATTTAATATAACTTTTTTCTGTTTTTAAGATTGTTCACATAAAAAAAGTTGGGGTCATCAATGTGAAACACCTTGTGGACATTGCAAAGAGACATGCAATCGTTCCAATGGAAAATGCGAAGAATGTGACGAATATTATGTTGGAGAAAAGTGCAATGGTAATAAATTATATGACATACATTATACCACAATCCACAACAACAAGGTTTGCTCTATCTCGTTTCACGTATACTAAAAATCACAAAGTTAGACAACCAGACTCTAACGGCGGCCATTTTATGTTGTTTATAATTATTGTGCTTTGGGTTTGTGCTCTGTTTATACAGATTAATAATCGTTTTAAACGTTGTGTTTCTTACAGATGACAGCCCTGATAAAATAAGGTTTATTTTTTACAAAAGAGGAGTAAAATGGTTGTCCTTGGCACTTTAAGGCCTCATTTGAGGCTTACAAGTGCTTCTTTCAAAAACACAGCGTTTACAACGAGTTTTAATCTGTACAAAACAGCACGAACCCAAAGCACAAGAATTGTGAACACAATAAAAATAGCCGACGTTAGAGTCTTACAGTTGGTTGCCTAACTTCGTAATTTGTAGTATGCGCGAAACGAGATAGAACAGACCTTGTTTTGTGAATTGTGCATTATACATTGACCAAAGAGATGCTCATATAATTTTTGTCAAGAAATTAAATGACATAAATTTGAATCCAATGATTTGATGTATCATATAACCTACTTTTTTATTAGTTAAACGTGTTAAATCCAATAAGCAGTGGCGGCTGGTGGATTTTTGGTATACCGATATTTCAATTATTAGATATGGGACCCACACCAAATTTCTATGAGTTTATAATGACATTAAATAAAAAGGTTCTGCGCGAGCAGAACTTAAATTGAAGTTTGCCAAAAAAAGATAACTTTTTGCTCGGCCGCGGCTGTTCAATTTAAATTCTGCTTTCGCAGAACTTGTTTATTTAATGTCATTATAAAGTCATATAAATTTGGTGTGGGTCCCATATCTAGTAATTGAGATATCGGTATACCCAAAATCCACCAGCCGCCACTGGTGTAATCCAAATGATTTGTAAGTTTTTCGTTTGGCCACCTAGGATCACTTTAAAGGCCGACAATATTTTTAGTAAATGCCGACATTGAAGCAAGCGTTTATCTACACAATGAATCGGCTATATGGATTAAATGGAAAAGTGAAAACATGACAAGGGATCCTATATTTGTTTACGAAAATGAGAAAAATGCAACCATTTTCCCAACTGAAAAATGCATATGGCGGCAATATAAGTGTTTACTGATTAAATTAAGTCAAAATCTTACTAAAAGTATAATAAAGGTAAGTTTTTTTTAATATTTACATTGGCACTAAGTTTATTATTATTACTGCATTATAATTAAGTTTGCATTAACTGCATATTTGTACATTTATGAGTTTTTCTAAACTATGTACAAAAATATTTTAACTGCTGAAATAGCCGAAAATTATTTTAATTTACTTTTTATATATATACTTTATATATTTAACATAAAAATTAGTAAAAAATTAGTAGTATAAAACTAATACTACTTTAAAGTTTAAAGACATTATTGCAAAAAGTTTTGTAACCATTAAAATCGTTTTTATGAAAAAAAAAACAATTAAGACCTTTTTCTTTTTTAACCGTAAGTCACTTTTTAAAAAATTTTATTTATATGTTTTTATGTTATATGTAAGTAGACACATGTGAACAATATAATATATTATATTGTTCATTCTACTTACAACATATAAATAAAAATTGTTCCAAAGCTCCAAAAAATAGAGAGCTTAAAAAAATTTGCCGTTTAGCCTTTAGCTAATTAGCTGAGCTAAGCTAGATTGACCGGTTAAGCCGCCAGCTAATTAGCTAAGCTAATTCAGTTAACCAGTTAAATTAGCTAAGCTGATCAGTTAGCTAGCTAATTAACATCTAACTTTTTTAGCAGGCCTAAATGGCTAAATTGTACAGCCCTAATAATTTTATACTTGTGGTAATTTTAAATTTTTCACATAAACTGTTTTTTCTTACCCTACACCATTAAATAGTCAAAGGAAATTGATTATATCAGTAACAATAGAAACATTAGAAAGACAATACTAACCAAACACCATAAAATATTAAAGAAAAAAGACAAACAACCCAATCGAACTATTGCGGTGATACACCAAAGCTGTGTAGGACAATAAATCTTTCAACAACAAATGCGTAAGGCATGAAACCCAAACGAGACCAATAATAAACATTTGGCACACAGAATATAAACTAACACTGAATAAATCATTATAACCCTAACATAGTAAAAACAGCAAAATAATCAAACTCTATTGGATCTGTAAACACATTGGATTATAACAGAATAATTGAGAATAATTTAAGTAAAAAAGACAAAACTCTACCACAAAACGTGCTTGGGCAACACAATAACTAAAAAAATTGTATAAATTTCGCACTACTGCGGCAATAAACAATTAAAAAAACATCAAAAGCTACAAGTTACATATCCAGCTACTGAACTATATATTGATATTTTTCGGCCTCAAGACTGAAGACACATGTGCAGGAACAATCCTACCTGGACACGAACAATAACGACAAAAACATAGACCAAGACGTAGGCTCCTGCAGCAAAATATCAATTCCCGGACTCCATACAGTAATCCCAAATGTTTGGAGTAATACTAACTGCCTGGTCTAGGGGGGTACCGCATCGTACTTAGATTTAAGTCGGCGTAATTTTCCCCCAAACACCAAACTGTCTATCCCTCCCGTCCTACCTCCTTCATTACCCTACTGGACGTATAGCATCGGCTCGGCGAACCCGGGAATGGCTACTAAAACTATTGGCATTTCGCTCTCGAGCCCTAATTAGGGGACAGTACGGGACGCAATGGACATTCGCTGGTGGCGAAAGAAAATCGGCGCAAGGAAACAGAGGCCTATGCGAGGCCCGGGAACGATGAGGCAATGGGGCCGGTTATACGTCTCTTATACTCATACTCATACTCATTTCCTGTAACTTGGTGTAATCCTGTTGTAAATAAGGTGTATATTTATTTATTTATATATTTTTACATTTACATATGACGGGCAAAATTGAAGCTAAATTAAATCGTTTAAAAATATAAAACTTTGTTTTTTTATTTAAAATTTAAATATATTTCTTAATAAATAAATAAAATAAAATTACATAATTGTGCAATCAATAATTAATAATTATTATATATTTTTTATTTTAGATATCTTATGAACAAGATAATATATTTTACCCAGTTACTAAAATTAATTGCACGACAAAAAAAGGTTGGTAAAGAAAGGTTTTAAAATTACCGAGTTTATTGTACACATTTTGCATATTTTAGAAAGTGAACCACCCTTAAATGTATACGTATTGAAAAAACAAACCGAAAATACAATAAATGCAAGTTATATTATAAAATGGACTCATCCAGATGTAATTAACACAGCCCTAGAAAAATATGAAATTCACTTTAATGTGTTGGATAGTGCTTTTAATTTTCAAAATTTTGCTATGACATTTGATTACACTGAAGAATTACATTACGAAAAAGAAGTAATTTAAATATTAATACCTACTGTGTGTGATCCAAATTTTAACTGCCGCGGCATGCCGTTCAAAGTAAAATCTTTAACCGGCACGCTTATTGTAAATGATGCCACGATTTCTGACACAAAAGAATTTTTCTCAGAGTTTAATCGATAGTATTTATGCATAGAATCTATTACCGCATTAAAATTTGGAGCACCCTACAAGTTTTAATACAGGGTGTCACCAAATAAGATGTCATCCAGGGAATGATAGTACACGCCAAAATAAAAACGTTTTTCCTCTCATTTTTAAGTTGGTGCCATTTATTTTATTAAAAAAATCATTAAAATTTTTATAAGTAATAATATCAGTAGAATAATATCATTGTTTTTAGAGGTAAAACAATTATGATATATAGGATGAGTCAGTGACATTCAGTGCCTGCCTGGTTTTGTTCAAAAAAATTCCTTATTTTTTTATCAAAAAACAGTAGCTCTAATGCAAAAGTTATAGAGGATAAACTTTCTTGTTGTGACGTATACTATCATCCCCCCAAAGGATGATAATTTATTAGGTGACACATTGTATAGATATTGAACTACGTATTTTTATAGGTGTCTCTACCTTTTGCTACAGAATTTAAAATATCCATTAGAGGGTTACACTTAAATCGAGCATTAAATGGAGAACGGTCATTACCACCCATAATATTTAAAACTGAAACACCTAAACCAAAAATGGTTTCAACAAATTTCAGTATAGTTGATAAACATGAAGTCATTACATTGAATTTAATAAATGTATTCAAAAACAGGTAAAAGCTTTTTCAGATATTTACCACATCACGTAATATGGGAAGTTAAGTTCTTAAGCTAAATACTTAAAAACTGTATTGTCATTTGATGATTAAATTTGTCGCAAAAAATACCGGAAAATTGTTAATAAAATGCAATTCTCGTATTCTTGTGTTTTTTTTTACTAAAAACAAACCCCGTATTGCGTGGTATGTGCGCCATTTTCAGGACACACTGTATAAAAATATAAAAACATTTTAGCACAATCCTATTAGTTGACTTATCAAAAGGAAAAACGACCATGAATAAATATAAGCAATATTTTCCTGAAGATTATAATATCATATCTAACTGGACTGTAAGCCCAAATATAGGATTTAAGAATGGAAACAATATCCAAGAATTAAATTTAACAAGACCGATAGATAAAGAATCTAAAGATATGATCAAATGTTTTTTAATTATCAACGATGAGAAACATTTTTTAAAAAAAGTCTTTATGCCTGAAAATAAACAGATTACTGTTAATAATAATAATAATAATAATTATGTTATATTGACGCTTTGTGTATTTGCGTTACTTATTATTTTATTTGGATTGATTTTTATCGTTTGTAGGTAAGTTATTATAATTCTATAGAATATTAATAAAGATCCGAAGGGCAGATTTAAAAGGATGTTTAAAAATAATTACAAAATTAGGTACTTGTAAAAGATCTCCAGATTTTTCAGATTATCTGGGAATAAACCTCCTCAGTTATTATGGTGATTGTAAATGAACAATTTAAATTAAGAAAGCTTGAGTAAAAATTGTTCACGCATATAGGTACCGTATTTTCCGAACCTTGCACGATCAGATATAATTTGTTTTGGTCTAAAACTAACTTGGTTTAGTTTTCGCTCGGAATTTCTTAACCAAAGTCTTTACCCGAAAAATGGAAAAAGATCATGGATCAAAACTGGCTTGAAATAGGAATAATATTGCTTTAAATTATACTCATTTTTAAAATACCATGGTATGCATCTATGCATAGAGAAAATACCCAGAAAATAAAAGTGTAGCTTTAGCCAATTTTCTGTTTTTTGATGAAATTAAAAAATCGCTTGGTTTTGTTATAATTTAAACTGAATTATCAATACTCTCTAAAAATGAACTAGTCAAAAATGACTAATTACTACAGTTATTAGTAGCTGCTTTTTCACTTGTACCATGGTTAACCATGAAATACCATGGTATTTCAAAATTTTTGAGATATAGTCAATTTTCCATTTAATATGGAATTTACTACACTGAGAAAAGAGATTTGTAATTATAACAAAATTGATTTGTTTGAGGGTGGTTTTTTACAGTAAAACTGGTGGTTCCTTTTAATAAGAAACAATTATTGTAAGGATATCAATAAAGTTGGTTCAATTAAATAGTTTTTTTAAATGTATTTGGTTAATACTATCAAATTATTTTGTTCGCATTTTTAGATAGTAGTAATAAATAAATCCTTACAAAAGTTTAAATTTACTTGGATTATTATTAAAAATTTCAAAATGTTATAGTAAATTTGTTTATTATTTACCAACACATTTTATTTGTTTACTGTTACAAGCTATAAATTAGCGTAAACTAAGAAAGTGTTATTCTTAATTATCTACTGTTACAATATAAATTCATTTGGTAACTATAACCATAGAGTCTCTTGTCTCTGACTATAACCAAATGCATAATTCCAGGAATCAAGTCTTCGCTACAGCGAAACTGAATTCAATAATAATAACATAACATATTCTTAAAACAAAGAAATTGCGGCTTTCGTCTACCCTAACTCCATATTGCATTTGTTAGCCACGTTTGATCTTAAGTTGATGCAGTGTGTTTCCTATGTCTAAAATTAAGTACATTTATTCATAGAAAACTTGGTTATTTTTTTTATCGTAAAATGAAATTCATTTTGAATGTGGATCTCAGTTCGTTGCCTGTATGACTTTTTTTTGATTAGTTTCTAAAAACACTGATAATTTAGGTAATGTTTTTTTTATTATAAATTTTTTATTATAAATATTCAATAAATATGTCAATATGGCATTATTATTGCTTCCCTGTTTCATTTATTTCAGCTTAGCTAACTTATCCAGTGTAGGTAGTTTAGCTAAACATTTTCTTTTATTATTTTGTTTTGTTTTTAGGTTCTATTTTATTACATTATTTTTAAAACAATATATCACAACCAATATTGTTGTTAAAAAATAATGTAGTATACCTAAAAAACTAAATCCATGTAGTACCTAGCTCGTAGAATGTTTTGCTGTATTACGCAAACTTCATATTTTTCCTTTAATAATATTTTTAAGTATCAAGATCCACATTGCAATAACTAAACGGTAAAAATATTTTAAAGCATTTTTAAGGTGTCATCAAAAATAGGTGTCTAGGAAAAATTCTACACTGAAAGAAATTTATGTTTCATATATGGACTACCACATACATTGCTAAAACAAACATATAATATATTTACCTTAACCATTTTTATATTTAGTTTTAACATATTATGTTAAAACTAAATATAATATATGTTTGTTTTAGCAATGTATGTGGTAGTCCATATATGAACCACAAACATTGCTAAAACAAACATATATTTCTTTCAGTGTAGGTAAGTTAAAAATACTCATCAGTCAAATTTATTTAAAAATGGGAATCTGACTGGCTTTTAAGGAATAAGTAATTAAAACTGTGAATAAAATAAGTGGGTATTTTAAAGTAAAGTTAATAATAGTAAATAAATAGATACTTGTTGTAACACGATATATTATTATTAGGGATGGGATATTTAGGTACTAAAAACTGAAAAATAGGTAACTAAAAAGGTACTAAAAAAAGCATTTTAGGTTAAAAAAAAACAGCATTTTAGGTAAAAAAAAAACATTAAAAGTTCAAGTTTCTTTTATAATTTTGTTTAGCCGCATACCCAAACACAGAACATACCCACAATAAACTATTTCTATGCAATAAACTGTGTTTCACTGAGTGACACTCACTACACAGAAATTCTATGACAGAAAATAAGCTCAAAATAAAGAAATACTGTAAAAAAAGTTACTGTTACAGTATGTGACTCATAGAAATAATTTAGAATAATAGAATAATTTCTATGCTGTGACCATAAGAAAAAATTCCATACCGTTGAGTTGCAAGCCCTGGATAAAATATTGGCGGAAAATTTAAAAAGAACACAAAAAAATAAAATAAGTAAAAATACGTAAAAATAGATAAAAAATATGTGAAAATAAACTGACAAATTAAAAAATATGTAACAAAAGTATAAAAAGGTAGTTTAAAGCAAAAACCTCCAAAAAAGGTAAAAAAGGTGAAAACTAGTTAAAAAAAATAGGTAAGAAAAGTATAAAAAAGGTAGTTTAAAGCAAAAACCTCCAAAAAAGGTAAAAAAGGTGAAAACAAGTTAGGTTCATACAGGGTGTCCGGGAAAAGGAGGTCAATCCGTTAACCATATATTCCTTGAGTTAAAACAATAAGACTTCCATAATACCATTTTTCAATTTAGAGCTTCATGTTCGATATACAGGGCGACAAAGTTTGAAATTTAAAACTGATTTTTTTTAATAATTCGAGTAATTGATAAGATATTAAGTTTAAATTCGGTACACTACTTCAACATAAATAGTTAAATTTTTTGAGACCAACAAAACAAAAAACAATTTTTAAATAATCAAAATAGGGGGGTCCAGTACTCACTGACTCCCCCTATTTTTTAGTAGGTGCGCCAATGACTTCCAAACGGTATTTTTTCAGGTAATCATTTATTGTTAAAAAAAATTTGTCTCTTATAAAATTTTGATAAAATGATTTGTTTTAGAGATAATTTGTAAAGTATGGGTCAGTCCATATCAAATCAACCAAAGGTTCTTCCCCCACCATCTCCGATTTTGATCATTTTTGGTAAATTTGTTTACCTCACTAAAAAACTCAAAAATCCCAAATATGAATTTTTTTCGATAGGTGGTTTTTGTTTTATTGATTTTTGAAAATCAAAAAATTCCGATAAATTTGGGTCTTGCAAGTACTTACAAAAATAGCGATATCTCGTAAACTATTAAAAGTAGAAAGGTGAGTGATGGCTTATTTTAAAGGCCTATTAGAGAACTTTTTTATGATATATCACATGACCTACATTTTTTCAAAAAAAATTAAAATTAAAATTAAATTTTGAAAATTTGATATTAGGACTGACCCATACTTTACAAATTATCTCTAAAACAAATCATTTTATCAAAATTTTATAAGAGACAAAACATTTTCAACAATAAATGATTACCTGAAAAAATTCTGTTTGGAAGTCATTGGCGCACGTACTAAAAAATAGGGGGAGTCAGTGAGTACTGGACCCCCCTATTTTGATTATTTGACAATTGTTTTTTGTTTTGTTGGTCTCAAAAAATGTAACTATTTATGTTGAAGTAGTGTACCGAATTTAAACTTGGTATCTTATCAATTACTCGAATTATTAAAAAAAAATCAGTTTTTAATTTCAAACTTTGTCGCCCTGTATATCGAACATGAAGGCCTAAATTGAAAAATGGTATTATGAAAGTCTTATTGTTTTAACTCAAGGAATATATGGTTAACGGATTGACCTCCTTTTCCCGGACACCCTGTATAAAAGAAAATCTTTTAAAACACATTTTGGCATTATTGGTTTTCAAATAGTTACATCGGTTAAAAAAAGGTAAAATAACTAAAATCCCATCCCTAATTATTATAGTTAAATATAATATAAGTTTTATTATTATTAATAAAATAAAATATTGTAACAATAAATAAATCAGTTAATATAGCAAACATAATTTTTTAACAATAACCTATTCATTTTTGTATTAAGAAACTATACGGGTGTAATGGGATGATATTTATCAAATTATTTTACTATAAAAAGCTAATTTGGTAAAGGTTAGTTTATGTAAAATTATATTTAATAACGTATATTTTCAATAAAACTTTCAATCGATAATACTTATTTTACATAAAATTAGATTCATAATAAAAATCTCATTTGGTAATAGTTACCAAATATAAATTTATAGTAACAATTCGTGCTTAATAAATCATTTTTTTCAGTGAAGAATACATTTGGTTTCCTGTATCCATAACAAGTATTTGGTTGTGTCAAACAAATTACCATTACTATAACCAAACTGTTTTCTCAGTGCATACTTCAAAAACTGCTCCACTTTCATAATTTTTGACTGATATTAAATAATAAAAAAATATTTTAACTATTTTTCTGTTGCAATAAAATCTCTAGATTTTAAATGGCTTTATGTAGTTTTCTAATTAAGGTAATTAAACTGTATTATATAGATTTGGAAAGCCTAAAAAGCCAGCTTTCTGAATATACAATGGTTATTTTGAAAAAATTAATATTAATAGGTGTAATTTCAGTTTAAATAATAATATGTCATATTTAAATATAAATTATATTAAGTAAAATTATTATTAGTACCGTATTGGATCATTTGGCAAAATATAAAAATGCAACGATTTAGTTCTTGAATTTTATGTACAATTAAAAACACAATAATTCACGATGATCACTTAAAATACACATACTAACGTAACTATACAAGTATATAAGCGTTGGGTTTCTTAATCAATGATATAAGAAATAATAAATCGAAATCGAGTATACTTAACCAAAGTTTTTTAGTTTTTACTTGCAACGCAAAACACAAATATCGTGCGCGATTGAACAAAATTTGTCGAGTAAGACTTCTGCTTTCCTCTCTTTTGTTAAAAATCTACTTATTTACAAATCTGACATCTGTTAACCTTACTTTTTCCCAATTTAAAACCCGATTCGTTCAAATAACAGTGAATATTGAAATCAGCCAATCACTGATGCCTAACAACGAGAATAATGAGTTCATTATTCCCGTTGTTAGCGCGGGCGGTTATATTGGTTACCATTATTTACGAAAAAACCCAAATACTGTCAATAATATGCAATAGGAGTAGAAAAAATATATTATCTGTCAAACTGTTTAAAACTAACAATTAATTAACAACAATTAAGTAATGCGCTATTTTTCTCAGTGTTTCCAACCTCACAAATACTAGAGGAGATCACGACAATAAAATAATTTAACTTTACAATAACCTTGTTGCACCTGAATATATTATCCTAGGAATAGCATAAATACTACACCAAAAAGACAGTACCCAGTTCTAAAATTATATAAAAAAAACTGAAAAAAGTGAAGCTAATGGTCTATACAGGGTGTTTCTTTTAACTTGAGACAGCTCAATATCTCGAGAAATACGCATTTCACGGAAAAATGTCTTAAATAAAAGGTTAATGTGACTAAAGGGGACATTATTTGGTGCTACCGCTAGCCACCCCCTACCCCTCCTTAAGGGTGAAACGGGGGGTAACTTTGGAAAGTCAAATGGAATGACCCGATTTTTTTCACAGAGTTTGGTAGTACATAAAAAAATAAATAACTTTTATTTAAAACTTTTTTCAATTTATCAACAGATGGCGCTGTAATTCAAAATTTAAGAAAAATGAGTTTCCTTGTAAAATGTATTATTTGAAACGTTTGAAAAACAAAAATTAACATTAACAACAATAGTCGGCTATGAAAACAATTTATAACAAATGTTCGAAATGTCGTCATTCCATTTCAACACATTTTTGAATGCGGGTAATAAATTCTGGCACACAACGCGCCAACATATCGGGCGGTATCGCCGCACAGGCGTTCCTGATCCGCTCCACCATGTCCTCCCAAGTTGTAGGAATTGCAGCGTAAACTTTTTCTTTCAAGTAACCCCACTGGAAGAAGTCTGGTGGCGTAAGATCAGGTGATCGAGCAGGCCAAATTACTGGACCACGTCTACCGATCCACCGCGGTGCACCGGCCATTGAACTCCCGATCCAACACCTCTCGAGCAATTGTCGAATAATGTGCAGGACAACCATCTTGCTGGTACCACATGTTTTGGAGCCGTGCTAGTGGTACATCCTCCAATTAATCGTTCGCTTAAGGTAGCGCACCAAACGTTTACCGACCAGGGACGCTGGTGCTCCACTTGGTGTCGAAATGGAAGGACGACATTTCGAACATTTGTTATAAATTGTTTTCAGAGCCGACTATTGTTGATTTAATGTTAATTTTTGTTTTTCAAACGTTTCAAATAATACATTTTACAAGGAAACCCCTTTTTCTTAAATTTTGAATTACAGCGCCATCTGTTGATAAATTGAAAAAAACTTTCAAATAAAAGTTATTCATTTTTTTATGTACTACCAAACTCTGTGAAAAAAATCGGGTCATTCCATTTGACTTTCCAAAGTTACCCCCCGTTTCACCCTTAAGGAGGGGTAGGGGGTGGCTAGCGGTAGCACCAAATAATGTCCCCTTTGGTCACATTAACCTTTTATTTAAGACATTTTTCCGTGAAATGCGTATTTCTCGAGATATTGAGCTGTCTCAAGTTAAAAGAAACACCCTGTATAGTCCTCTACATTTCACGTTTTTTATGTCGAGAAATCAGTTTTTGACATTCGACATTGATGACGCAATTATAAACATTCGCCGCTACGACTATATAATATACATTCTGCCTATGAGGAGGCAAGATTTAACAATAATTTTTTCCCGTACAATTGCGGAGCACCATAGTATCCATTATATAATTATATTAAAATTTTATTAATAAATAATATTTATTTTAGGGACCCAAGAAAAGTAAATGCAATGGTTAGAAAATTCAAACAAAAATATTCTTCAGCGGGTAAGTTTAACTTTTAACGTTTAAATTTACATTATCTAACAAATATTATATAATTTAATTTTTAGATACAGATATAGAATTTATAGAAGTAAGTCACATCAGAAAATTTAGTTCTATAGTATTAAAACTTATTTTTAGTATGAAAATTTGCCAAAAATAAGTTATACCATTGATGTGGATAGATTCAAAGAATTCATTTTGGAAAGTTTGGGAACTGACGGCATTGAACATCTTTATAATGTAATTAATTCTTTTTCTTAATCAAAATTAAATATTTAATTTTAATTTTTTAGGGAGTCCCCAAACGACTTAATAAAATGTCAGTGGATCAAGGAAACTTGAACAAAACTAAAAATAGATATACCAATGTTTTGCCATGTAAGTAACTATAGTTACAACCAGAGCTGTGAGTATCTTGAAAAAAAGATACTTTATCTTAGATACTTTTTATATTAAACAAAAAGTTACTATATATAATAATAACTATAGTTATTTTGGAAAAGTATTTTGTAACTTGTATCTTAAAAAGTATTACCGAGTACCTAAGATACATTCAAGTAACTTAGATACTTTAAAGTAACTAAGATACTTTTTAAAGTAACTAAAATATTTTTTTAAATTACTTAGAGTCATTCTAAATAAAAACACCAAATGGGGTGAGCTGCTTGATTTTTTATTTTGATAAAAAAAATTGAGGATGATCTTTTAGGTATCAAATATGAAAATCCGTTGCCGTTTTAATTTTTGGATTCTTTACTTTTAATCGGCACCCTTTAGAAATCTGAAATCGTGTCAATTTCTTACTCTCTTATAGTGGGCCAGAACTTTTTTTCTGTGACAAATATTGAAATGATTTTAATTTGTTTTACTGTTCAGTAAGTATATGTTTTCGATATAAATTATTATTATCCAATTAGTTATTCTCATAAAAGAATGGTACACCACTAAAGATTCATGATAATTTGTCAATTTTTGTGATTTTTGTCTGGCTCCTGTGCCTATTCTACTACATCTAGAAAGTTATTTATGTTTTTATTTTTTCCTCAACATAATGATTTCTGAGGGCAAAATTGGCTAATTTTGAAAATTATCAAGTTTCAATAATTTTTTTAATAAAGAAAATGATAGTCTAGAAACTTAAAATAATAGTTACGTTTTCTATTGTATAAGTACTTGATACCTGAAAAAAGCAACTTTCCAGATTTAGCAGAATAGGCACAGGAGCCAGACAAAAATCACAAAAATTGGCAAATTATTACAAATCTTTAGTGGTTTACCATTCTTTTATGAGATGAACTAATTAGATAATAATAATTAATATTGAAAACATACTTACTAGGCAGTAAAATAAAATTACAATCATTTCAATAATTGCCACAGAAAAAAAGTTTTAGCCTCTTATAAGAGAGTAAGAAAATGACACGATTTCAGGTTTCTAAAGGGTGCCGATTAAAAATAAAGCAACTAGAAATTAAAACGGCAACGGTTTTGCATATATGATACCTCATCCTCAAATTTTTTCATTAAAATAAAAAATCATGCAGCGCACTTTTAAATTCATTTTTGGTGTTTTCATTTGGATTGACTCCTTATAAGTATCTATAGATACTTTTCAGTGTAACTAGATACTTTCTCAGACAAAATTGGGGGAATTCCAGAATGATTCAAAGTAATTACCTAACCTACAACTTGTTGAATTTTTATAATTTTATAGTTTTTATTCAAACTCAAAAGTATCTTAGTTACTTAAAAGTATCTTAGTTACTCAAAAGTATCTTAGATACTTTCATTAAGTATATACTTTAAGTATATTGTAACTAAAGATACTTTTAACTCAAAGTATCGAGTTACCAAAGGTAACTAAGTTATTTTGTTTAAAGTATTTTAGAAAAGTAATTAGATACTTTTCAGAAGTAACTTTCCCAGCTCTGGTTACTACTATACATAATAATAACTAAAAAGTCTAGGACACATTGTATAATTCATCAAATTTTTAGATGACTCCACCAGAGTTATTCTGAAGTATAAAAAGAATGACGATGACTATATAAATGCATGTTACGTCGATGTAAGTACAATTAGGGATTTTTGGAATAATACAAAAATTACAACATTCAACACACAGAATGGCCCATCGAAAACTGTTCGGCTTTGTATGTATTGTATATTGTAATTTTGTTTTCAGAGGACATAATATTATTTACACATTAATTTCATCACTGTAATTTTAACCCCTTAGCAGGGGCGGCATTTTTCAAGTGGAAAGGGGTATGTTGTGATACATCTTTTGAAAGGACATTACATATCCTATAAAATGGCGCTTCGTTTTTTAACTTTAAGCTACATAACATTTTACAAATTTCGTAAAGGAAAACATTTGTTGAACAAATTGTATTTAAACTAACACATATCAGTCGACAAATCGACTTTATCTTCAGTAATGTAGTTGATATGGATAGTTATTTCTGTGCTTTTATTTTCTTTCGATTCGATAAAAAATGGTTTATTCTAGTGGAAATTATTTAATTGTATTTTATAAACAATCAATGTGCAAGAGTAACGGCAACTTTGTTTAATAAAAGTCATGCAAATAGACACATCATGGTTACATCCTAGAATTAGTAGCGAAATTCTGGCAAACTGGTTCAGTGACAAATAAAAAACGAAAAATTAAAAATTCGGTAAGAAATTAGGCAGTAAAAGTAGATGTTTTGGGTGAAATTTTTTTGGACTCTACATTAAGTACCAGAAAACTTTCTGATGAAACGGGAGTTTCGCGGGCCACCGTACAGAGAATTCTGAAACATAATAAATGGCACCCATATAAAATTTAACTTCTTCAAGAATTGCATGAAGATGATAATGACCGCCGTTTACAATTTTGTGAAATAATGTCCGAAATAATTATAAATACTCCCAACTACCTGTTTGCTTCTTGGATGAATGTTCATTTTTTCTCAATGGCATTGCCAATCATCATAATTGTCGTTATTGGTCCGACCGAATCCAAGGATCTTCCATGATGTTTATACCCAACAACCTCAGAAATTAAACGTTTAGTCTAGTATTTTTGGTGATCACATAATTGGACTATTTTTTTACCGGCAAATTAAAATGAAGCTACTTGTTGGAGAATGCCTTCAAACCAGCGCTGGTCAAAATTATGGAAAACGGCCAACGTTACCATGAAGAATATCCGATATTTCACCACCCCTCTAATGCATATATGCATTACCTGTACAGCAGTTTCTGAAATTAAATCCGTTTTGAAAAAAGTGATTTCATTTGAGCCTGATTTCATTTTACCTATTTTACCTAAATATTCATTTTCAAAAGAAATGGACCTAATTTTTACATTTTACTACCTAAACTGCAGTTATTCTGCGTAAATTCTTATTTTTAACAGAAATTAACCAAATTTTCAAATTTTACATTCAAAAACATTTTTTTTTGTAATATTGAGGTTGTCGTATTCGGATGACATAATTCCTATACACCATATAGGTATTTTTGCTGTACATAATTGGTAATGTGGGTTGGTTGGGAGTGGGAATCGCGAACAGCGACGCGATTATGACATTCCTGTGCAATGTTGCCAGGTCTCATGCTTCTGCATGAGATCTCAAGTTTTTACAATCAATGATTTTATCAGGTTTTATTTAAAAATCTCATGTATTACCACAAATTATAGCAAATTTTTGCTTTTTATGAGAAAGTATTTTTTTAAACATTTCTATCATAATGAAAGTGAATTTATTATTTTCAGCAATTGGTTGCTTATTAAATGTGTCGCCGCATTAAAAAATGTATGATGGTATTATAATATTTGTACAAGATATATTCGTCAGTTATTTTAAAATTTTTCAAATCATAAATTTTTTATAAATTTTGCAACCTAAAATCTAGGTGGGTAAATGGGGTTGAAGTTACACTGATGAAATTAATGTGTAAATATGCCCCACATACGAGTATGAATATTTTTTTTATTTTTAAATACAAAGCTGTAAAACTTTCTGGACTGTTTTCGATATACAAAATGTATGTATACGGGTCATTCTAAACTGATTCGGATGGTTAATAATGTTGAAGGGATTATAACAAATTTTAATATTAACAATATAATTAAAAAAATAAATAAAATGTATAGTTTTTTTGTTATAATTTGTAACTTATAACCATTTAACCGTATGTTTGACTCCAGCTTACATTTTTACAAATGTAAAGGAAGTTTTATAAAAACACCAGTGCAAAATAAATTTTAACTCACGGCGCATTCACCATTTTTTACTCTATTTTGGACAGGTTGGTTCTTGCATTCGTTATTATTTATAAATTTTAGGGATATAAATGTAAAAAAGCATACATTGCCACTCAAGGCCCAAAGAAAAATACAATTTATGACTTTTTGTCAATGGTTTTACAAGAAAATGTTAAATACATATTTATGGTTGTGAAAACGATAGAGAATAATAAGGTAATTAAACTAATCAATTTTTAGATTTTTATTTATTAAATTTATTTACATGACTATTTCCCTCGTCTTAATTTCCACCAATCACAAACGCGCAATTTTGAATTACAAATGGTTTCTAGGTGAAAAAACTGTATGACAGCACCTGTCAGCAGTTTACCCCCCAGCACTCATGCTTCTTGTTAAAATATTACTTAGCAACGTGTTAAAAAAAATATATTGTTTTTTTAAACCATAGTTTATAAAACCAAATTTGTTTTATTTTAGAAAAAATGTGAACAGTATTGGTCAGACAGTAACGAAATCAGTTTTGGAGATATAACCGTTAAAACCGAAAACACCATTGCCCAAACTCACTATGTAACTAGGGAGCTCAACATAACTACACAAGAAAAGAAAGTCAAAGTAAAAATTGTATGGGTAAAAAATCTAACAAATAATCATTTCGTAAATTTTTAGGTCGTACAATATCAATTTACTTCCTGGCCTGACCACAGTGTGATTAGAAATACATTTGCATTTATTCCTTACATAAAAAAAATCGTTTCTATACCGCAAGCGGAGTTCCCAATTGTGGTTCATTGCAGGTAATAAAAAAACCGTGAATACAGGGTGTTTGGAAAATGCGTGTTCAGTTTAGTCATCGCGTTTTCGGTCAAATCTTCTTTGCCTAATTGTTTCCAGGACTCCAATTATTTCATTCTAATTTTCATTTAGAACATTAACAGCATCCATACCAGCTGCTCATCTGGTACTTGATAAAGATTTCAAAGTAATGGACTTTTTAAGTTCGTAATTGAATTCATAAAAAGTTTTTATCGATTGGTAGACGCAGTGAAGAAATTATATAAAGATTAAACTATTGCAAAAAAAGTACAACTTTCTGGAGTAGCATCTACTATTATTGAGAAATTCTTCACAAAAAAAGAAGCACAACTAGTTAAATAACTAGCATTCTAAGTAAATTAACCAAAATTCAAGTAAAATAACGTTTTTTAAACTTCTTTTTTAACCAATTAGTTGTTTTTAACCATTAACATTTTTTTAAAGTTACTAGTAACTAAAAAATAGCCCTTTAAATGTATAAACCGGTTTCTATAACCTTATAAGGTAAATTCAAAGGTTATTTTAGAAGTTACATAACGTTATATTAACTTCTAATTTTAACCTTTGAAAATGGTTTAGACTCAGAGCTGTGCGGTACTCGAGTACAAGTACTCAAACACTGTACTCCAAGTACTTTCAGTGTACTCGGTACTCAGTCCCGAGTACTTTAATTTGAATGTACTTATACTTGTACTTGATACATTTAAGATTGCAAAAATGTACTCGAGTACTTTCCCGTGTACTCGAGTACTTTTACATGTACTCGAGTACATCCAAAGTATGCAATGAGTACATTTTAATGCGGTGAGGTTGGCGTGGACAAATATGTGCGTGGTGTTGAAAATTTGGCAACACTGCTCAGACTCGTAAAATTACGGACATGCTGCCTAAGGCAGCCTCAGCCAGCCTGCCTCACACGAAAGCCTTAAGACAGCCTCAATCAATAAATAAAAAGACACAGGAAAGAGCATTGAACAAAAGGTTTTTACTTATGTATGAAATGTAATTTTGTTTATATTTTGGTAGAAATAAGATGACAATATTCCTCAAAAAGATAATTAAAGAATATAGCTAAGGCAAAGTAAAACAAGATACTAGTCGGCCTTGATAATTAACATAAAGCGAAATATCAATATTTGATGAAGGCAATTCTTAATGATTTCTTAATCGCCCCATTTCTCTAGCATTTTTCCCAACATTTCATAACTCGTAATGTACTCGGTACTTTGTACTCGTATGGGTACTCGAGTACAACGGTACTGTACTTGTACTTGGTACTCGAGTACTTTTATATAAGAGTACTTGTATTCAGTACTCGAGTACTTTTTCATTGTACTCGGAACAGATCTGTTTAGACTAGTTATTTTTTTAGACATATTTTGGTTAAATTTAAGTTTTGATATTACTTTTTGGTAAATTAATCACAGCTTTGGTTAATTTGGATATATTTTTTTAACCAACAAGTTATATTTTACCAAATATACACGGTGTGCCTGAACGAACTTTAAGTAACATAAAAATGCCGCCAAAATCTGATTGCAGTTTCTTGTTCGGGACCCTTTGGTGACTTAAAAATGATATTTACCAAAATCCTAGCTGCTCCTCTTTTCAAAATTTTTTGAAAATTCATGATTTTTTTTAAATTTTTGTTTATTTCAAAGTCTACCTTTGACAGAGTACACATTTGTACAACGATTTTTAGTATATTATTGAGGAGACTTAAAGAATGCTTTTTAATACTGTTCACATCATTTGATATATACAGGGTGAGCCAAAAATCGCTTATTTTTAATAAAGCAAAAGCGTAAACTCATGATTTTGGCATAACACGCAAAAAATATTTATCCCCATTTTTTTTTAGATATTTCTACGTTTATCAGGTTAAAAAATGGCATATAAGAATGAACCTTTTATAAAAAAATTGATTTTTAATAAAATTAAATAAAATATCGCTTAGAGATTTAAAATTCTGTTTAATTTAAGCTTTTTAGTAGTTTTCAATTTTTAACGAAAAACTGGTTAAAGTTTTTTGATCGGCACTCTTTGGAGATTTAAAAACGAAATTTACCAAAATTGTAACTGCTTTTTTTAAATTTGTTAAAAAATCATTTTTTTATTAATTATTTATTTATCGCAAAGTCTACCTTTGCCAGAGTACACATTTGTACACCGATTTTTATTGATTGCAGTTTCTTGTTCGGGACCCTTTGGTAACTTTAAAATGATATTTACCAAAATCCTAGAGCTCTGTCCTATTTTCTAAATTTTTTGAAAATTCTTAATTTTTTTTTTAATTTTTGTTTATGTTACCTTTGACAGAGTACACATTTGTACACCGATTTTTATATTATTAGAGTATATTGTTAACGAGACTTAAAGATTACTGTTTTCATACTGAGCACATCATTAGATTTATACAGGGTTAGCCAAAAATCACTTTTTTATATTTAGAAAAAAGCATAATGCACAAAAAAGATTTATTTCCAAAAAATGTTATTTTATTAAATTTTATTCAAAATCAATTTTTCTCATAAAGTCTTAATAAGAATCCCTTTTTGTAGCCTGGTAAACATAAAAATATCTTAAAAAACATGGGTGCACCCATGGGTATATATCTTTTTTGCATGTTATGCCAAAATCATGAATTTACGCTTTTGCTTTATTAAAAGAAGCGATTTTTGGCTACCCCTGTATATATTAAATGATGTGCACAGTATAAAAAAGTATTCTCCAAATCTCCTTAACAATATACTCCAATATTATAAAAATCGGTGTACAAATGTGTACTCTGTCAAAGGTAGACTTTGAAATAAACAAAAATTTAAAAAAAATCATGAATTTTCAAAAAATTTCGATAAGAGGAGCAGCTAGGATTTTGGTAAATATCATTTTTAAGTCGCCAAAGGGTCCCGAACAAGAAACTGCAATCAGTTTTTGGCGGCATTTTTATGTGACTTATACTTCGTTCAGGCACACCGTGTATATTTGTATAATAATGGAGCCTAAAAGAAATAATTTTAAAAAATATAGACATTTTCAACTTACTAAAGAAGAGTTAACAAAGTTGTAAATCATTTTTTATCTACAAATCTTAAAACAGTCGACTGTCCCCTCACATTTAATTAATTTGGTTAACATATATAGTTTTTATTACAGAAAAATAAAGCAGGGCCGCAACTAAAATCAGAACGTAAGATCGGCGGAATTTTTTTAGGTTAGTTGTTTTAAAAATAACAAGTTAGTTTAATTTAACTAATTTTGGTAATTATTAACTATAATGTGTTACATTAACCAAATTTAAAACAAAATCATAGAGTTATAAATTACCGATAGGTAAATAAACTATAGTTTAATTAAACACAATAAAATATCCAAATGGTTTAAATTAAGGTGACCAACTGTGTAAAGGGGAAAACCAGAACAGCGGTGGCCTGTACGAAATTTTTTTTAGAAAAAAGGTGTTGCCCTATTTTTGCCTGTTTTTTGTGTAACTACCTGTGTTAGGTTATTATTATTTACTCTCAATTGAGTTAAAAAAACACAAATTTCATAATAGTTATTTTATATATGGGTCGTTCCACGCCCTATCGGCCACTTTTGAACCCGACCCTTTCGATTTGGCTGAAATTATGTTATATTTTTACACCCCACCAAAAATTTTTTCTTAGAATGTTTTAGTTTTTTTCACCCGACCAAAAATGTTAAAAAAATTTCAAAAAAATGTCTTTTTTCCCAAACTTTTTTGAAAAGTTTATTCAAAAACGCCCCATTTAGTCAAATTTTGACAAAGTTATGTGTATTTTAAAAGAAAATTGGCAATTTTTTTGAAAATTCGTAACTTTATTTTGGTTGGGTAAAAATATTGGAAAAATCCTGAGAAACTTTTTTAGTGGGGTAGAAAAAAATTTAAAAAGTTCAGTAAAATCGAAAGGGGTTGGGTCAAAAGTGGTCGATTTGGCGTGGAATTCCCCATATATATATTTATAAATTAACTATTATGAAATTTGTGTTTTCAGCCTAGTTATTTTTAGATATTAGGTATACATAATAAATTAATATGGATTTATAAAAATTGGAAGTTTATTTTATATGGTAAGCCAAATCAGAACAGACCAGAACCAAAATAGGAAAATCAGAACCTTTACTACCTTCGATTTCCTGTCAGAATGAAGACCCCAAAAACAGTATAGTTCTAATTTAATCAGAACAGTTGGTCACCTTATTTAAATACACTTGCAGGTTAATTTATATTGGTTATATAACCAATAAGTAAAAGCATCCTAAAATCGCCATATTGTTTGCTGCCCATTCTAACAAAAGATAAGGCCATTAATTTGAATAATTTGTTTTATTAAAAAAAAGGTAATTTAAGCAAACCAATAATAAAATATTATTTTATGTTTAAAAGTATTTTAAATCAATTTCAAACAAAATAAAGAAAAAATAGGCAAAACAAACATATTTTTTTATTTTAATTTTTTTTATTTCGTATTTTTTTCAAAGCGGATTTAAAATATTACCTATCGGTAATTTATAATTTTTGGTTATTTTTAAAATAACTAACTTAAAAAAAATTCTCGCCGATCTAACGTTCTGATGTTAGTTGCAGCCCTGCTTTATTTTTATAAAACGCATCTGTTTTGTGATAAAACCTATAGATGCTTACCAAATTAATTAAATGTTATGGAGTCTTTATTTATACAAAACTCACAACCTATAGGTTTATATAGGTACTCTCTAAAAATGAATTAGTCAAAAATTACTAATTTAATAGTTATTAGTGGCTGCTTTTTCACTGTACCATGGTTAACCATGGAATACCATGGTAACACAAAATTTAACAGCCAATTATTATGTAAAATTGTCCCCTGAATCCGAAAATACCGTCAAAAATTATAAAAGTGGATAAGTTTTTGAGATATAGTTAATTACATATTAAATGAAAAGTTAACTATATCTCAAAAAATGTTTTACTTTTTTAACATTTTTGGATTCAGGGGACAATTTTATATAAGAATTGTCATTTTTGACTAATTCATTTTTAGAGAGTATATAAAGATGTAATGAGACTAATTTTTCTATGCAGGTAACAATGTAAACTGCAAAAACATCACTTTTTTAATCAGTTTATTAACTAAATTTAATTTACCAGTTAGTTAAAATATATTTGGTAAAATATAACTTGTTGGTTACAAAAATATTTCTAAATTAACTAAAGCTGTCACAGTGGCTTAATCACACACAATCCCTAGGATTAGGTGACAGACTAAAACATACCTTCTAAATAAATTAAAGTATAATATTAAAGTGTCCAGTTTCTTGAGTCTAATGTTAAAACTAGTTTTAGTTAAAATAACTTAAAAATGTAATTTTTATGGTGAATTTTGCATTTTTAAAATGTAAATAAAATTGAATTGAAAAACTGAAAAAAATATATTTACCAAAAAGTTATATCAAAACCAAATCCAAATATGTCTAAAAAATAACTAGTCTTAACCATTTTTTAGGGTTAAAATTAAAAGTTAATATCGATATGTAACTTTAAAAATAACCTACTTTTTAACTTATATTACTCACTAGGAAAATATTTGGTTTATTTATAGTCAATTTGAAATAACCTTAATAATTATTTACCTATAGGTAAACAAATTTTTAACTAGTTGGTAATATTAACAATATGTTTCTTTTATTAGTTAAATTATACTAAAAATAACCTTTGAATTTACCTTATGGTTGGTAAATTTAAAAGGTTTTTTTAAAGTTTATAGTAACCTTAAAAAATGATAATGGTTGAATACAACTAATTGGTTAAAACACAAGTTTAAAAAAATGTTATTTTACTTAGATTTTGGTTAATTTACTTAGAATGCTAGTTATTTAACTAGTTGTGCTTTTTTCTTTATTAGTAAAAATCGCAGATCACAGTTTAACTCATTGTCAGTAATTTACTGACAGTAAATCACAGTATACTGTATACATATAGGTAATGTAGATATACAAACTGCTTGCTATCATACTTAAACTCTAATTATTGAGGACAGAGCAACATCTTACATATTTTTTTTATTTATCATTATCAACGCGGCGTTTAAATTTAAAATGACAAATTCTACTCTCTAAAAATGAAACAGTGGATTTTTACTGATTGACAGTGCATATTAATTATTTGCCGCAGTGATAAGTATACCACTAGCAATTAGTGAATAGGTACTCACTTTTTCATGTAGCGATTTCTTTGCACTAATTTATTTAGTGGAAATTACACTGTACAAATTAGTGAAATAGGTTTAGTTCAAAAAAGTTAAAATTTCACTATTTTATGTCGAGAGTTTCGAAAAAGTAGGTAGTGATAATAAAAAACACTAATTTGGAGAAGTTAAAATTTCACTAATTTATATTGAAAAACACTAATTTTACAGTGAATAATAACTCACTGACGGAAATAGTGAAAATTTCACTGTTTAACTTTTAGAGAGCAGGTACTTTCAAACTTTTTTTATATTGGATTTGTTTCTATGGATTTTTTTTAATTTAGTGCTGGTGTTGGAAGAACAGGATCCCTTATTTTATGCGACTATGCAATAAGAATGGCAAAAAAGGAAAAAAGAATTAATTTTAGTGAAATTTTATACAGAATTCGCACGCAGAGAATGCATTTGGTTGATTGCAAGGTACGCTCATTTAAAATTTGCCCCATTATCCAAACATTACGGTTTTTCATCTTTTAGGAACAATTTCAGTTTTGCATTTTTGCAGTATTCGAATACTTGCATCACCAAGACTTTTCCGTGGCAGTAAATGACAAGGTTTTGTTTGATTCGAAGCTAAACAAACATTTTAACTCAAAAGTTACCAACAAAATTATGAACCATATAAATGAGCTAAAATGGATGGATAGCATAGGTTCTGAAAATGAGGATGTTATAATGGAGAATGAATGCAAAAATAGGGTTGCAAATATAAGACCCGGTAATTAAAAACTATATACATAAAGGGTACCTGTAAAAAGTCTTTCCAAAAACCAGTGATGTAATGTATCGAGATACATGTATCTAGATACTGGATCTAGATACATTTTATGTACCTAGATACGTATCGAGATACTTAAGAAAATCAGGATCTACTTTAGTATCTAGATCCTTTTGAAAGTATCTAGATCCTTAGATACAAGATACATTTTATTTTACCCAACCTGATTGCAACTCCACACCGTGTGGGCCACACGGAAAATGAACATCCAATGGATATACTCTATGGATATCCAGGATATATACCTACATTGGATATTTTTGATATCTCCCGTAAGAGATGAACAATACGAAAACCGTAGTGGTGTGTATAGACTCCCGTACCCTAATCTATAAACTGAACTACTGTTTTCGTATTGTTCATCTTTTACGGGAGGAAGGAAAGAAGGAAGGAAGGCAATCTATAAATCTTAACGCTTTTTCCCACCCTCTATGGATTTACAGGAAAAAGCATCTGGCAACACTGTACCGGACCCAGAGACCTAACGATAATTTTGAATTTGTACTACAAATTTTGTAGTAAGCTTTCATATGGCGCGTAAATATAAAATTTATTTCCGTTTTTCATGGATATTTCGTCAATTTTATCAAAACAGTTTTATTTTATAGTTAACACGCTTGTTTATAAGGTCCAAAAAAATTTTTTTTGTCATTTAATTTTTAAGTTTTTTAACATAGTATCTGGAAGTAACTTAGATACTTTTTGAATGTATCTGTATCTGTACCCAGATACTTTTGGGAAAATGTATCGGTATCTGTACCCAGATACATCTACCAGAGAGTATCTGTATCGGTACCTAGATACTGAAAAAAATGTATCGGTTACATCACTGCCAAAAACCCATTACATATTCCTTAGACCAAAATGTCTAAAAGAAATGCTGAAAGATCCCTGTAAGATATCTAAAAGACATCTTATTAGCACTCTATAAGATATCAAAAATATATCTCATCTCAGATACCCCAAAACAAGTGGATTTTCACTGATTGACAGTGCATATTAACTATTTGCCGCAGTGATAAGTATACCACTAGCAATTAGTGAATACTCACTTTTTCATGTAGCGATTTCTTTGGGATGGACAAAACCACTAGTTCAAAAAAGTTAAAATTTCACTATTTTATGTCGAGAGTTCCGGAAAAGTAGTGATAATAAAAAACACTAATTTGGAGAAGTTAAAATTTCACTAATTTATATTGAAAAACACTAATTTTACAGTGAATTAATAACTCACTGACGGAAATAGTGAAAATTTCACTGTTTAACTTTTAGAGAGTACAATACAAATTTTGTCCATAGCTTTGTTATTTAATTAAATTTTAGAGGATTTTTTTTGTAGCAATTATGTTTAATATTGACCATTTTAGCTATCAAACAAACAAAATTAACATTTTTTTAAATTAATTGCTATTTTCATTCCATTCTGATTTAAGGCATTTGTCACCTTTTAGCCAATTTTTTTTAAGATGTTTAATAGGTATTTAAAAAATATATCGTTAAAGATATCTTTAGAAGTTGATGCTATATATTTAAACAATTTAACTGAAATTTTGTCATTTGGAAAAATATAACATGGTGATATATATTTTTGAAAAAATAACATTCTTTTGTTTATCTGCAGTAAAATGTATTTTTATGTTTTAGTTTTGTCGAGATTTTATTTGCAGCGATACCCAGTCAATAACCCAAATTCGGATTATATAAACGCCATTTTTGTGGACTGTTATGAAATGGAAGACAGGTATATTGTAACTCAACAGCCTTTATATAACACACAAGGTGATTTTTGGCGTTTAGTTGACGAAGCAGGGGTTCGTTTTATTGTATCGTTAAATACGTTTGAAACAGGCGTAAGTATAATATAGTACCTACAGTGTGACCCATTTGTTTGCGACTCTGTAAAATCTTTATTTATTGTGCGATTTTAACCGGGTTTGTTTTAAAGTGTAGATCTATAAACTGTATTTTTGAAGCAAAAAACGCCATTTTTTACAAAATACAAGGGTACTATGTTTTTAAGAGTAAATTTTTAAGAATTCATATTAGCGATTTAAAAAAAAATCTTAGCACGGCACTGGATTTACCACCGCTCAAAACCACCCTATACTAAATTTTATTGAAAATTTTTAAGTAAAAGATTGCACAACTACAAAAATGTATTCTGTCAAGGTATCCATGAAAAAAACATTGAAATAAAATTAAACTTATAGCAATAGTACCATGTTACTTGACAAAATAAATTTTTGTAGTTACACTGTTCAAAATTTCATGACCATTTTAACACCAAATGGTCCACCATACATGGTCTATATCGATACAAACCAAAATGGTGTTAAATAAGGTTCGTTGGTCCAGTGTAAATTCAAATACTAAAATGATGTAAATTTAACTTTCACACAGTATTAAAATAAATTTTACCTGGTTTAAATTGAACTCCTTTTCAGTGTTAAATATAATGTGTTTTTGGTCAAATTAAATTAAATTAAATTAATTACACAGAAAAAAAGGAAAAAAAGGAAACAGAAAGTTCCTTGACGCATTACAAGTATATTACCAGTGGTATTATTCCAGAAAATTGAACCTTCAACTCGCTAGAGATAATGTTTTTAGTGCGTTCCACCAACTTAAAATACTTAAAATATTGACAGCTGTTTCCACCTATTTAAGGTCTCTTTAGTAACGAACAACTTGTAGTGTCACACCAAAGCAAAGGACTACCTGAGCTTATATACTCTTCATGTAAGTCAACAGAGGCGAGATTTAAGAACATCACGTGATCCACACCGCCTTTGCCGCGATCGGTACACACTATGCAACAAGGAATGCGAGGCAAATTGTTTTAATCGTTTTAACAGAGTGCTTTAGGTTGAAGTAACTCTTATTTTACAAACAACATATTAAGTAAAGTGAACCATACAGCGGGTTGTTTTCACTAAAGTTTTCTGGGTTAATTTTACCAATTTAAAAAAAATAAAATAACTATCTGGTTTAGTACCGTCAGACTAATCTTTGTTTATATTAACCTTCCGACAGTTGATAAAAATAAAAAAATACAAAAATAAATACTTATGGGTCAACTAAATTAATATAGTTAAATGAACTATTCCTTTTTTTCTGTGTAGGTGCACTTCTCAAATATTTTTAGATAAACACCGTTTTGGTGTTTGCTGTATATAACATTTTCAACCATAATTGATGGTGTTATATTAACACCACTTGGTGTTGGATTTTGACACCATTTTAAGATTACTCTTTACACCACAGATATTTTAAACAGTGTATTGTGCATTTTTCTACTTAGTAAAGGATCGTTTTGAGGGGTGGTGAATCCAGTCCTAAAACCACCCTAAAACGATCTTATAAATTTCGTGAAATATATAGCAAAAATGTCTCCCTTAAAACTGAAGTTGACGTCTCTTTACGTTTTTTTAAAAATCACTGCTAACTTCCCAAAAACTCATCGGTTTTGTTTTCATTGGGCCCTAATATATAATTTTAAATTTCAGGCAAACCAAATATGGCCAAACGAAAATCAAATATTAAAACCCGTTGATTATTTAGTTGTAGAGCCCCTTAAAATGGGAAATTTTGATTACGTAGATCAGATTGAAGTAACCCTCATCAATCGCCAAAAGGTATGTTAATTAAACCCAAGACCAACAAAAAACTTTACTATACCTTAATATTTCAGAAAACATCGACAGAAATTGTAATTATCCAAGTACACGATTGGCAACCTAATATGTTATACCCCAAAAGTGACCGGGGTATTTTGAGTGCTTGGGAGTTAGTCCAACATCAAAGTAATATCATGGTTGTGTGCAAGTAAGTTAAAATTCGAAGTAATAAGGCTTTAAACTAACTAATATTATTCTAGTGATGGTTGTACGGCATCAGGTGTATTTTTAAGTTTTGCAGTTTCAACTGAACAAATAAAGACTGAAAGTGTTTATGACGTTGTCAGCGCCATTCGAATTATCAGAAGCAGTCGTCCTGAATTTATCGTTGATGTTGAACAGCTCAGTTTTGTAAACAATTGTATTTCGAGTTACGTTAAAAATTCGGAGACCTATTGTAACTTTTAATTAAAAAAACTTGTTTTAGTTGTACTTATTTAAAATGTGTTAATTAAGAAATAATTTTGCCATATTAAACTACTCTAAACTAATAATTAAATGACAAAAGATAAAGAATAACATATGAAAACTAAAATAAAAAGTTTTCCCCCGTAATTTAAAAAACCGAGGGTGTCCCGAAAATAGTGTGCAATACTCTTCACGTGGTTTCTAAAGACAAAAATAGGTAGAAAAATTCTTATAAACGTAGGTCCTAAGGGATCTACAGCCTCTTAAAGGGGCGCCCTTAAATATGGTTTTTTATTATTATTTCCAAAACGGTTTGAGATAAAATAATGAAATTTTGTTTGCTTGCTAAACTTTTTATGCTAAATTTAAAAATAAAAAAAAATATTTTTTTATTTTGGAATGTAACAGTGGCGGCCCAAGGTATTTTAGCCCTAACTTTTTGTATTTTTGTTTCTACTTAAAAAAGGTTGTTGAACATAAAAAATGCACCATTTTCTAAAAAAATATATATTTTAATGTAATATATTTAACCAGAAATATTTCAAAAAATACATATGTGGAATTCCACGTGAATTCGACACGAAAAAAACCTTTGCTATTTAGAAATTCCTCGACAATTTTTCAATGGGTACCCTGACTGAATGAATTTTTTATTTAATCTTTTTATATTTAGCCCATTTAACTGTTAAAATTGTTTAAAAAATTATTATTAATAATAATTATTTTAAGATTGAAAATCAATAAATCAATTAGTTTACTATATTCATAGGCACTACTCTTTAATTTTTTTAAACAATTTTAATAGTTAAAAGGGCTAAATAAAAAAAATCTTTTTTGATATTACAAAATATCCGAAAGTGGAAAAATTGAAATTAAAAATCCAAAAAAAAAAAAATTTTTTTCGATAGCCACGATCTAATATAGATAAAAATCTTGTATTCTCTTAACGATTAAAAACAAAAAAAATTAGAATTAATAAAAATATAAAAACAGTGTAGAAAATGGATTTTTAGTTTTCAAAGAAAAAAATCATAGTGTGCCGATATGCCACAGCATCAAAAATATTTATTTCAAGACAAAAAAATGATTGGTCGTTCGTCGAAATCGCTCAATGGGAACCAAAGTTATGATCGATGACATTTTGGCAAAATCGTTATAATCATGAAAATTTAATAAATCATATCTCCAAAAACAATTGACAAACCGGGCTAAAATAAAAATTGAATTTTTATTTTGAGTCAGTGAACCCATACAAATTTGCCAAGGAATTTCGAAATGGCAAGGGTTTTTTTCGTGTCGAATTCACGTGGAATTCCCCATATGTGTCCAGAAAATACAAAATTTTATCTTAAACCGTTTCGGAAATTATAACAAAAACCATCTTTAGGAATCTTAGGGACCATTTGTGGGCCTATGTGAATAGGCTAACAGGAGTATTGTACACTATTTTCGGGACACCCTGTATATAAGCCTACTAAATGTTCTTCATGTACTTAATTTTATCTTATTCTTTATTATACATTACAAAAGTTTATTTTTAAGTTTTTTAATAAGTTTAGTTTATTTAATAACTGTGTACAGGGTGCTCTGAAAATGATGCACTAATGTATGTAGAGGTATTCAAGTTAAATCGAATAATTTGATTCGTATTTATAAATTCGAATATTTGCACACCCCTATAGATGTAAGGTGTTTGAAATTGCTTTGTTTATTATGTTTTTAGAATTTTTTTTTATAGTTACAACAATATTAATATTTAAATCATCCATCTTTTTAAAAATTAATCCCGATGTATTTACCATTTTTGCAAAGTTAAGACCAGGTTGTAATATTAGCTACACAAAAGTATACACGTATTATTTATGCTTATAACAAATTATAAACAGGAGGGGCAAAATGCTTAATGTTTAAGTAAACTCACAGTCAATTTGAGTGCAAGCTAGACAAAGGGTAAACCTACTTTTTGTAAATTTGCAATCTAGATTTGTGCACTGATTTTTATAAATGTAGGTATTCCATATAAATTAAATTTAATATAAAACCATACAGGTGTACCGAAAATCCAATTAAGCCATACCACGTGGTATGGCGTGTACACGTTAATTTTTTTAAAGAAAAAAAAAGTGTTTGGCATGTTTAAAAAAAATATTCCACATCTTATAACAGTTGTTATGGAAACAATAAGGCAGATGAGGTTAGCATGCTTGAAGGATGTAATTTATTTATTTATTTATATTTATATCCAACAGGCACAGACCTGTACAGGGTCCAATTAAAGAAATAAGTTTTATGCATTGTATTTATTTTTATCCCAAAACTCTCTTATTCAATAATAATACTAATGTCTATCCAAAACATACATCCTCAATTATGGTTTTAAAATTTCATAGTTTTTGTAATGGAATATACAATATTTTATTTAACTACTGCAAGAAATTGCCAATTTTATTTTACATTTTTTCACTTCTTGGCCTATTAAGGTAAATAAATGTTATATAGTCCGCTTTTGTTTTTTCTACCCCTACGGTAAGGTATATGAAAAAACTAAATTATTTAAAACTAAAAATGATAAGTATTCTTTCGTTAAAAGACAATAATTATTGTTTTTCTTTTGAATTGCCCTTCCCTTGCGGCCTTGAGTTCACGGTTTATTCACCGTGAATTCACCGTGAATAAACCGTCTGTTTGTGACATTTGTAAACGGTAGTTAGACGGTGAATTCACGCACTTTTCACAGTATTTTAATTGTGAATCCACCGTATTTTGGCGGTATATTCACGGTGAATTCACGGAGAATTCACGGTGAATTCGCGGTGAATAAACCGTGAACTCAAGGCCGCAAGGGTAGGTATATCCTATAGGTTTAACACAATCGACTATAGCTAGCCATTATTTGTTACTGAGCAGATGAGGATGGAGATGGGGACTTCAAACAATTAATGTTCAGCTATGCCATTACCTTTATAATCTGTGATTACAGACGCACACTTCCAACTAATATTGCAACCCAACGCTATTTATAGTTAGCTCGCTTGCGTAAGCAGCCGTGAGATGCATCTCATACATACATGTATTGCTTAAACCGCTTAACACAGAAATCGACTAATAAAAAAAAACGCTAATAAATGGCGTCCAACTTGTTCTTTTCTTTATGATGGCGTCTCAACCTCGTTGATTTTGCGCAGCTACACGAGAGCCCTCTTGCGATATTTGTATTGTATTGGGAATAACCAATTAACAGATTGTTCGAATCTTACACTTACAATTTGCGGTGTTTTCACAGTCAATTTAGGGTGTTTTCACAGTAAACTCACAGCGCTTTTACGGTGAATTCACGGTGATTTCACGATAAATTTACGGTACTTTCACATTGAATTTGCGGTGATTTTGCAAACTTGAGTTCACCGTGAATTTACCGTGAATTAACCGTGAAATCACCGTGAATTTATCGCAAAAACAGCGTGAGTTCACCGTTTAATTACCGTCTACAAATGTCACAAATGGACGGTATATTCACTGCACATAAACGGTGTATTCGCGGTGAATTCACGCAAACGGTGAATTCACCGTAAACTCAAGACCGCAAGGGTTGACCTAAAAAACATTTTATATTTATTAATACCTAACAGAAGTTACTATATATAAATTATTTAAAGATCCATTAGACTTTTAATGTTTATTTTATTAGGTACCTTAAAAATTTACCAAACATTGAAATTTTTGTGAAAGGGATAGAATAGTATATTATGTACCATTTTAATCACGAATTTTAATTAGGCACGAGCGTGCTTGCGAGCGAGTGTTTATTATTTCACAAGGGCACTTTACACATTTGACATTTAACTAACTTAAAACTAACTTCAGCCCATGACTAAAAACCTGTTGCTAACTTTAGCCCGTGACTAAAGCGCCATAAAGCCTCAACTTGTCAATGTGTATTTAAAAGATCACTTAGTGTCATAAAAACATGTACGATAATGGGCATTTTTAAGGTGGAAGTAGAAAAAAAAATTTTAAGCGAATAACAATTTACATATTATAACACTTATATTATAGTCTTATAAGCCTATATAGAAGGACTCAAATTATTATACACCGCTATACAATAATGAAAATACATTAAAATTACATAGGAAGAGTGGATATAAGTATACTTACATCTATTGCGTTTTGCTGGAAAACAGCTAAGAAAAAAACTTACAGGTCACTGTAGGATAAATTCATGTTCATAACCTATAATATGTCAAACGTCAAACTTGGCAAAATGTCGCAAACTCGATAATTTCAATGTAAGTACAGAATTATTATCTTATTCCTGTATAAACGCATTTGCGTGCGGAAAAGTACAACTTTGCGCACGCAAGGACATATTAGATACCTAAATATTATAAGACAATAAGCGAAGATCACAAAATAAACTACCCATTTTTAAAAACTTTATACTTTATTAACATAAAATCATCACAACTATCTAATGAAAAATAAATAACACAAAGCTAGCGACAGCAATAACAATAGAACAGCTTGTAACAACGGAAGCCTTATTTATTTCATTCTCCTTTTCCTTGATAATGGTATTCTTGATGTCTTCCAAGGAATTAATTATCGCTTTATTGATTCCCCTCATCAGCGGATAGTTGATCGCGTCTTCGTTGACTGCCACTTCCATGCAGTCGCCGCGGAAATCGTCGGTGTCTATGGACCACACCATGGCGCCTGCTAGATTTTTCTCCATGGCGAATCGGATTTTTTCCGCTATCGAGCGCTCGTTGTCGTACGTGATGAATTTGTCGTCCGCTACGGCGTAAGGGGTGCTGGTTTCGCTGTCCCAGTATTGTTTCCAATTCGAAGAGGTGTTTTTCAATTCCATGCAAATCTGAAAAAAATTGTTGTGTATTTATATTTCTACAGGGTGTTCCAGAACTCGCGCTACAGAGAAAAAGGGAATGCAAGTGGTAGAAAGAGCATAAGGGAAGTTGTACCTAATACAAACGAAATTTTCAAAAAACTTTTGCCTTTTTATCATTAAAAAAAGCCCGGTGCATGGTATTTTATATCAAAATTAATTTTTAATGTAAAAATTAATTATTTTCTATTTAGTTACCTACAGGGGCGTACCGAGGCACACTTTTTTGGGGGGGGTGGAGTCGATAAAAAAAAACAACTTATTTTTTTATCGATACTCCCCCCTCTACACCCCCCTTAGGCCCGGCCCTGGTTACCTAGCTATATTTTAAGAAAAATCTAATCCCGGCGCATTCGCCATTTTTTAAAGACATGGAATTCTGGAAAAAAATTAAAATTGTCATAATTATTCTTGCAAAGCATTGTTTTATTGCATTTAATTTGCAAATTTGAGTAGTTTAATTATGCACGAGCGGAAATTGCGAAGCGACTTTTTATAAACGAGTGATCTTGAGAGAAAAACAAATTGCATAATTTATTTACGACGAACTCAATTATATAATATAATTATATTGTAGACCAGGACAGCATATATTTTACAGCAGAGGCACTAGTAGATTGTGTGTGAGGCAATTAATAAGGTTTCGCTGCCGTGCTTTATATTCTATTTTTTAACATTTAATTGGAATTTAAAGGGTTAGGATTTTTTCAAATCATTTAACCCAACACAAAACTTCTTAACCAGTATTATTATAATTTTATTTTATATAAAAAGTATTTCTAAATGGAATTATGAGTGTCATAATAGAAAATTTATTATACTCTTGAAAAAAAAGGAATGTTTATTTCAAAATTTACGGTCAATTTTACTCTTTTACATCTGGCAACTGTGAATTTTTTTCCCAATGTAATGCACTATAGTGCATTTAGTAATTTAACGTTTAATACTTTGGAGTAGATGAGGTGATTAAAGTACTTAAAACATATTTTTGGAAAAAATTTCTTAAGATCCACGTATAACTATAGTTTTAATATTTTTTAATTCGGTTTTTCAAATTTATTAACAAAATGATATAATTTGTATGTACATGGTACACACACCTTCGATATTCTTGCAAATTTTGAAAAAGTAACTGTTACTACAAAACATCCACATTAATCTTCATTTTCATCCAATTTCTCCTCTGCTAAATTTTTATTTACCATCTTTTTTGTTACTTATATTTTTTTAAATTTTTAACTATAAATAAATTGTTTTTTTTTCAAGCGGCCATGATATGCAACCTTATATGCATGTATAGAGATAGTTGAAGTGCGTCTTTTTCATTAGCGGCAGACAAAAAAAGCAAAAAAGCTTAGGGATAGAATTAAATCCATAGGCGACTCAATAGACGTCAAATAATAAAATTAATTTAGCATTTCATACAAAGCAATCACGATATATTAATTATATTAATTATAATCGCACGGAATATTTAGTGATTATTTATTAAATTTTAATTGAACGAAATAAAGAACAACTAGTTTATTAGTATAATATAATGATGATAGACGAGTCGCCAATGTCGGAACTCCAAACAAATGTCAGTACGTCAAAATTAATTCAAGCGCAGCATTTTGACAGAGCAGGGTTAATTTTTAGTTTAGGCTTTGTTATCTATGGTTTAGGATATTTATCGGCATTGTAAGTAAGGGTTATAAGTTTTTTTAGTTTTTATCAATAATTTGTAATGCTTTTAGCCAAAATTTTATACCACATGAGTTATAAGTAAATAAAATAATTCTATTGCTTATCCTATTTATATTACGCCCTTGAAAAAAAAATTGTATATGTTATTTGGAGTAGAAGCTCTTTTTGTGCTTCGTACAGTTGCCTGCCTCAGCTACGCTTCGGCCGTCAATCTCTGTACTCACCACAAAAAGAGCCACTTCTACTCCTTATGACATAATCTACTATTTTTTTTCAAAAAAAAGTTTTGTTTAACAAAATATAAAAAGGTATTATAAAAAAGCTAACATGTTTACTACTATGGCTATTTTTTTGCCAAATAATTTAAATTATAAAAATAAAATTAATTATTTAAAAAATAAAATACACGGTTTTTAATAGTATTATAAACTACCAAACAGTATATTATGTATCAAGTTTAGTAAACGCCATTTTAGATACAAATTTAATTCAGGCACGAGCGAGCTTGCGAGCGAGTGCTTACTTAAATAGGTGTCTAGAAAAGTTTATAAACGAGTTGCATAATATACTGTTTCTACGACAAATAATTATTATCTAAAAATAATTTTAATTTTATATTTTTATAGAGCGACATCTATAAAACAATAGAGCAACCAACTTGGGAATCTCAAATGTCAAATTTGTATGTGTATATTTGTTATATGGTGAAAATCGAAATGTATCCCCTGAAAATGGAGCGTTTAATCCACAGACCTACAAACAAGGTCTGTGGTTTAATCCGATATAGACAGTGCCGGTTTAAGTTAGTTCGCCGCCCGGTTCTGGCACAAACACAACGCCCAATGCTTTAAAATATTACTTTTTTAAAAACATTTTTAAATTTTTAAGTCTTACTTTTTCACGTCAAGTGGAAGATTAGGTTGGTTATGCTGGTATCTAACAGTAAACTTAGTATCCTATAAAATATAAAATGAGCCTTTATAAACAAATTATAAAAACTAATCAAAAGCACTAACTAAAAAATAAAACATTCTTTGGTTTATATAAACAATACTAAGTACTAAGAAAAACTAATTAAAAAATAAAAGTTTAATATTTTGTTTCATTAAACTAATAAAAACTAATCAAAAGTTATAAATAAATAAAACATTATTCTTTGGTTTAAATAAATATTGAGAAATCCTAATACTAATAATTAAAAGGTTGTTTTCAAGCCTTTATAGTAGCAAATTGTTTTATAACACTTTACATTTATTTCATCTAGCAGGACAGAATTGCTAAGGAGTTAAATCTTTCTTGGGGAATTGTATTTCTTAGGTAGTTCTTTACCCTTTTTAGAGTAGAAAAAGATCGTTCACCACTTGCATTTGAAACCATTATAAAAAAAATTCTCAGACAAAATATATAATAAAATATTTAATATTAATATTCAAAAATGAAGATATTAATTTATTTTCGTATAAAACTTATACTAATTCCAATGGAGTTTCTATTTTTATTTCCGAAAGGGAACTTACCAGTTTCTTAAGTTGGACACATTTTTGAGGAAAAAACTCATCCAAATCCTCCACGAAGATTTATAAATAGATACTTTTAGATTAAACAAAAATTCAAATTTGTTTGTGCCAGATTTCTAGCTATCATATCGACAAATGATTTCGGATTATAGATTGTCAATTATTAAAATAAAACATATTGTTCGCATTGTTTCTTTTTTGCTTAAACTTGCCTCTGAATTATTTTCTTCAAATTGTAATTTTCTTATGATTATCCGCTTCTGAGCATAATTTTCGTTTCCTGTTAATTTCCTCATAATCATAAAAATGATCACGTAAAAAATCAAAGTTCTCAACTAAAAATGACAAAAGATGAGCATTTGTGCTTACATCCATATTTTGTTTTTGGACTGCTTTATTGGTTTCATTAACCCTTTGCAAAACGTCTATCCAAAAAGTTAAAATTATTCCGTTTCCAATAAATCAAGTTTTTCTGATGGAGAAGCTGCTTCAACTCTAACAACATTTTTCTCATTTGTATCCGTTGTATCCGCCGACGCAGTGTCGCAATAATTTTTTTTCTAAATTCTAACGATTAAGTATTTTAAAAAAAAATTATGGGTGGTACGCGGTACCGCCCCAAAAATATTTACCGCCCGGTGCTATAGTCCCCAAAAAACCCCTGTTAAACCGGCACTGGATATAGAAGCAGTTTTTTACAGTGAAAGTAAAGAAAATGTTTTATTATGTTAAATCTAGTTTACTGCCGGCAAAATCAAAAGGTCAGTACAAAGTGTATTTAAACTTTTTAAGTATTGGCGTTAAGAAACTATTTATTACTTTTGTATTTTTGTATTGAGATAATAACATAATTTTACCATTGAGTAAAGTGTTCTTTACTCAATGATTTTACTTTATAAGAATAAGCCCGTGACTAAAACGACATAAAGCCACAACTTGTCAATGTGTATTAAAAATGTCACTTAGTATCATGGAACCATGTATTATAATGGGCGTTTTAAAGGTGGAAGTAAAAAAATATATTTATACAAAATACGTGGATTAATATTCTTATTTCTTACCTCATTGTATCCCATAAATCCATTTTCCCTCGTAAATGGTCCTTGAAAACCAACCGATTTGGCCTCTTGACCCAACATCGGTTTTTTCGATGAAGATAACGATGTCGTTTCTGGCAATATAAAAGTACGACCGTACAAAGGCAAACCCATCACCAGTTTGTTAGCTGGGGCTCCCATTTTCAACATATAATTTATGGTATATTCCTAAAAAAGAAGGTATGATTCTTAGTTTTTTTTTAGAAACAAATCCAATGGATACAGATTTTTAAATACCATCTTTCCTTCCAGGATGCCCCAACAAGAATTACAATAATTGTAAACAAAACATATTTCTGGTTATTTTCTTACCACATTAAGTACATCAGCGCTTCGTAAAGGTGCGTTTGCACCGGTTCTTTGGTCCCACGCGCCATGATAGTCGTAGCACATCATATGGATGTAATCCAAATATACAGCAAGGCCTTCCACGTCGTAAGCCAAGTCGATTGTGTCTTTTCCAGCTCCGAAGGCGGCGGTTAGAAGAAAATTGTGTTTTCTAAAAGCTGCTTTCAATTCCTGTTAAGTAGGTGCATATAAAAAAAATGGGTTAGTTGAGTTTTAGATGTTTCGGTTTATTATTTTTGGACATACCTTGACTAGCAAGAAGAAGTTTAGTTTGTCTTCAGGGACACCTCCTCTTTTGCCTGGGAATTCCCAGTCCAAATCCAAACCGTCGAAGTTGTATTTTCTGAAACACATTGCCATATTATTGGGGCTTTGCACGACCTTTATTTTGAATATTTTGATAAATACTGTAGTATAAAAGTTAATATTGGTATATTTGCGGTACAGTCTTTTTACAAAAAATATTATTTATTTTACTTTATAAATTACTTGCAATACGAGTAAGTATAATAAATCGCATGTATTAAAAACGGAAATGTATAAACCCAATTATTTTTATTATTGTGTATTTGAGGAAATGTAATTAAACTTTCTTTATAACTAATAATAAATAATCTGGTAGGTACTCAAACTTAAAAACAGGTATTGAATTTATAATAACTGTTTAATCTCCCTTTATTATATTATAATTATTATCATTTAAATTATTAATTAAAAAGTATTCTCTTTATTACCTGAAGATATTAAATGGTCGGTCAAAATTATCTTTTAATTTTTAATCCTAAATATTTGTTTAATACTTTGTACAGCAAGCTATTGACTATCTAAACCCCCTCGAAAATGAACTAAAAATGCAAGTGAATAAATTAATAAAAGAAATAGTTATTTATGATATAATTGATTCGTGGCCCATCCCTTCAAAAAAATAAAACTACTTTTAGTTTATTAAAAGTACCAATCAACGCATTTTTGAGTTATTAAATTTATAAAATATAATTTTGAAATTAATTTAAGTTTGTTCTTACCAAGGTTTGTTGACTTCAAATCTTGTGACACTATACGCTAGAAGTATCGCTTGTAGCGCCACTACTTGGCTATTATCATCGTAACAAAAGTACAACTTTTGATAATCAGCTGTCAAACGCTTAGGTTACAAACGAGTGTTTTTGAGAATAAAGCCGGAAAATGTTAAAAAATATCGAAAAAAAATCCTGGGTTGAGTTTTTACCGGTTTTCCAATTATTAATAAACAGTGTTAATCTGAATGAAGAAATAAATTGCATACAGTCTCTGTAAATATAAATTGTACCTATTATAATATCTATAGATACAATAAATACACATTTTAGTAGTGATTAACGTGAAAAGTGTAAACATTTCAATTCAGTAAAATTGTCAAAGAAATAGGTCGTCTAAATTTAAATAGCATTTAGCATTATTAAAAGCGTTTTAATTAAGAAGATTAAGAATTCTTTAAAGTCTCCACTCAACGGTAAAATACCATTATATTATGTATTATAATATTATGTAGTCATGAATTCGTGGTTTATTTTGTTGTTTAAAATGCAGTTGTCGGCGTTTATTAATATATTATAGAACTCAAATATAAAAATGGTTGATTTTATTTTTTACCAATATCTTAAAAATGTCCAAACTTAAATATAAATTATATTAGGTAAAGTTATCATTAGTTCATTCTGCACTAACAAAACTAACCGAATTGGATCCTTTGGCAAAACATGAAAATGCAACGATACAAAATAATTCACCATGATCCCTTAGACATACACACACTAACGTAACTATATAAGCATTTAAACGTTGAGTTTCTTAATCAATAATATAAGGAGTAATCAATCGAAATCGAGTACTATAGTACTATAGTACTTATATATAAAAAAGATTTTTTAATTTTTTTCTTGCAACGTAAAACACAAATAACGTGCGCGATTTAGCTGTGCAATTGAACAAAATTTGTCGAGTAAGACTTCTGCCTTCCTCTCTTTTGTGAAAAAATTACCTATTTATTTAAAAATGATGTACAGTTCGTACGCTTTAAATTTATTGTTGACAATTCTTAAATTCACGCAATGCTTTTGAAGTCCACCAGATGGCGCGCGCGTTGCGAAAACCCCATACTTCTTTAGCGCATTCCTCAATAAAATGAATTTCTTCCGGCAAAAATCGATGAAGCTCCTAATTTTAAAATCAGTAAAAAATTGCTTTCGGCATACTTTGTAATTTACCTTAAACATTAATTAATTTGACCAAAGCGTTGACTACACACACTACAAAGTATGCCGAAAGCAATTTTTTACTGTTTTTACTATTATGAGCTTCTTCGATTTCCGACGGAAGAAATTCATTTTCTTGAGGAATAGTGTCACAAGATTTGAAGTCAACAAACCTTGGCAACAATAAACTTTATGGTCAAATTAATTTCAAAATTATATTTTATAAATTTAATAACGAAAAAATAAAGGTAAATATTAATAATAAGGTAATAATAATCATAATAAATCAGGATATGACAAGCTTGTTGCTAATGTTCAATTACTTTTAACACCAGTGACTTACTTTAACTGACATTTGTAGGAAAAATATTAATTAATATTATTTTTTCTTACTTTAGGAATTCCACAGCACTCCTCACAAATTTGCCTCTTCTAGCTGCACTAGCAGCAAGATCCGAATAATTTTTCGACCCCTCGTTCCATCCTCCAATAGCAAGAGTTACTTTTAAGTGGGAATATTTATTTTTTAAAGCAGTTATTCTCTGGTATCCACCTTTACCGTAGTTTTCGGTCAAATCTTGCCATGGATCTAAAAAAGCACATTTTTATTCTGCACATTTATACCGATGATTTTGTGCTTACCTAATGCTTTAATGGAATCTTCTTGTATGTTTAAGCCAGCAAATGAGTAAACTAGATGCGTACATAATGAGGGATCTAGGTGCTCTATGGTAAATGATCCTCTTTCTGGCCTGTAGACGGACCAGGTTCCTAGATAACACACTACTACTCTGGAATGTTTTGGTCCTAAAACAAATGAAATTGGTAATTTAATGAGCGAAGCCAAAAAATTAAATATGATAATTTTAAAATTTGTCTATTTGCATGGATAATATTTTTAAAATTTATTTTACAATAAATTGTTATATATACACATTTTACATATATTTTAAGATATCTTATTATACATGCACATGTTACATATATGTACCTGTTAAAACCCGAAATGGTATATTTAGGTTTATTTCCTCAATAAAAAAAAAAACATGTTTATAGGAGTTAACTTTAAGACTATAAATTTAAAATTATGGTAATTTAAAAATGGATATTACATCAAAACTTAAGCCTAACTTTATCTCAGTTTAGTTCTCTCTAAAAATGAATGATTTTGGGATACCATGGTATTCCATGGTTAACCATTGTACAAGTGAAAAAGCAGCCACTAATATCTATTAAATTAGTCATTTTTAGGAGAGTTTGTTTGTTAGTTTTTAATTTTTTAACTTTAATTTTCATATAATTAGATTTATTTAAAAGAAAAATATAATTTCAAGATTAAAAATATTTCGTCGTAGCGATCTAAACTTAACTTCAATTTGATATATTTTACACTTTAAAAGTAATTAGGTTTGATAAAAAAATATATTTTACATCAGCATTTATTGAGTTTAAAGCTCAATTACAATATTTTTCTAAATCTAAATTCTAAACAAGTTTCGTAGATTTTTGAAAATATTTCGTTAAGTTAAGTCACAGATCAGAAGGTCAATATAGTCAATATTATTTTATAAAGCTTTTAAAATCTTATTGCTTTGTTTTTTTTAATAATTGATTTACATGGTGTACCAAATAATGTCAAGAAAAAATGGTGTATCAATATTTTTTTTCAAATTAAAAAAAATGTTTGCGGTTTCGCGCTATCTTAAACGATACAGTACTAAGTATACAAAATTAAACCAATTCATAAAACACGATCGTATAACGCAAAGTTTCTATAGTACCTAAATAATAATTTTAAATTTGTTTTGGTTCATAATTATAATTATTAATAAATGAACTGAAAAAATACTTTCTAATTAAAAACAATGATGCGAAAAATAAACGGTAAATATAAAAAAGATTCATATTTAATAATAATAAAAATATTAATAATGTCTTTATCCAACGGACATATATATATATATATATATATAGATATCATTTAGATGTATAGGACCAGTCAGTAAAAATGAATAACAATTTTTATTTTAAAAATGTAGTCCTTACTAAGGACATTCGTTTCGGTTTTCTTTTAAAAACATTATATTTTTTTGTTTCCTTAATATAATTTGTCAAATTATTTAAAAAACTTTTTAAACAAGGAAGTTGTGTATATCTTGAAACATATACACAGTATAGAAGGAACAGTAGTCAGCAGCGCTTTTTATAAATGAAATCTCTTAGATTGCTGGACTTTCTGTGCTGCTCTTTTCTATACTGTGACATTAGCTTGATATAAGTGAAATGTAAATTTAACTTGTAAAGTTTGCTAAATTGTAGTAAATAAACTTTATGATGATGATAATATATAAATTTCATACAATGTTGGTATTTTTTTATTCTTAACCCTCCGTTATTTTTTGGGGAAAATAAACATCATCAAATAGAGTAGGTAAATACCTACTAGGTATTTATCATGCTAAAACATGCAATCGGAATAATATTAATATATTATATACGTATATTTAAAATCCTGCTAGAGCTTCGTGGTCTAAAGCGTAAAATGTCAAATTTCCGAGTTATTTCGTCTGGTGTTTCCCCCATTTTAAAAATAAAAAAAATAGTCGTCATATCTCGTTTCCTATTGGTCGACAAAAAAATTTTAATGTTAAAAGTAAAAACGGTTGATCAAATATGATATTAACATTTTTGAGATCTACAACTTTTATTTTTGGTATTTTTAGTTTTAATTAATTTTTTTTTACTCCCACCCATACTGGCCGTTATTATTATTGTACATGTTTCCATGACACTAAGTGACCTTTTAAATACACATTGACATTTTTAGAAAGGGGGAAGCTACACAAGGGAAAACACGTGAATACCATATCCAAAATTGTATTCAGATTATTTAAGCCACTCAACAATTAGTGTGTTATCCATAAAATACTTGCATTTGAATAAGGCTCTGTTTATCTGTCTTAACAAATTTTGAAATTGGTCAAAATAAAGTTCTTCGGTCGTGAGTCAGGGGGGAAATTGCACCCATTTCCCCCCTGCATCCACGTCTGTAAACAAAAGACGACCCAGAACCAAACCATGGGGAGTTTAAATTAAGACAAGGAATTTTTAATTTTAACCTTTATAACTATTATAATATTTTAAGTAAACATATAGGTAATTAAATATTATTTAAATATAAACTGGTTAATCGCGGAAAAATATGGATCAAATGATAAATATATGACTAATTTCCCCATGAAATATTTGTAATATTTTATATATAATGTATAAAGATAACATTATAATTATTATTTCTTTGTTAATAAGGATACGTTGTTTATCATAACAACTTATTTACCTACGTATTTGGATTTATGTACAGGGTGTCCCACAATTAACGTGCAATATAACAGCAGATTCTACGAACAAAAATAAGAAGAAAAAATCCTTTAAACATAGGTCGAGAATTGCTTTCTTAGGAAGCTACATCTCCCGAAAGAGAAGACCCTGAATATGGTTTTTATTTAATATCTTAGGGTCAAACTACCCTAAACTTTTTGTACTTGTCTTGTTCCAGGATTTGATCTAAGATTATTTTATTTTGGAGGTTTACTCACAAAAAAGGTCCTATTGTTGAACTTGAACTTAATAATATTTACCATATTGGCTTAAAATCGATTTAAAAATTACCTTATATATATATATATATATATATATATGCTATAGCATAAAAATTCATAATAAAATCATAACTAAAGAAAAAGATTCAGCTTGGGCTATGGAAAACGGAAAAATTATTTAAGACTGGTGACATTTTATGCAATGTAACTGGGAGATTGATCAATTCTCAAAATTTCATTTTTCTATCTTGAACGGTTTTGGAGATATTAAATAAAAACCATCATCAGGGTCTCCTCTATCGGGGGCTGTAGCTCCCTTAGGAAACATTAATCAACCTATGTCTATAGGATCTTTTTTTCCTATTTTTGTATTTACCCAACATGTCTGTTAAAATTTTAGGGGTTGTGACAAAGGGGTGAAGCGATTTGCAAGTTAAATCTATAGTATTTTTTAAATCACTACTTAGTACCTGAAGACTCCTCTGTTTCGATTTTGTTGGGCCACCCTGTAGGTATGTGACTACTTATTATTGAATAATTTGAGACAATCAAATATTATATTAAATAAATGGATTTATTTTAAATTTTTAATGTATTTAATTCAGCTGAAATTAATGTAAATTTGGCATCTTATTTGAGAGGATTTGAAGCAAAATTAAAGTGGCTAAGCTCTGTAAAAAACGTTAAACTGTTAAATTTACCGGTTAACTACAAAGAAGTTCAAGAACGCTTTACTGACCTAATCAAAATTCACTTATGTTGCACACATAATTTTTAATATTTTGTAGGCAACATTCAAAATAATATGAACAGTGAACAACCTTGATGAGCCTTCCAACATTTTATGAAACAGGCACTGTATAAGTAGATATATCTAAATGCAAATATTCAATTTATTATAAACAAATATTTATCAGTTTACCTGTAGAAACGCCGGTGGAGTTAGATAAAACACACTGCATAAACACAAAAAGAACGAGCACGCACTTCAGCCACATGTTTTGATGGTGTCTTTGTATGAAATGCCAGCGTTTTGACAAAATTAATTTTTACAGTTACTCCTGATGGGCTGCAGGAACAAGAGGCCGCCGCAACTACGGGTAGACCTTTCACTTTACGTCTGTCTGTCTCACCTTAGTGCAGGTAAATCGCCTTACTCAACTACTTTTAATACGGTTAGAGTAGCTACATACTATGGTCTCGCGACAGAACACTTAATTATCTACCGCATTATAAAGCATTTTCTGTTTAACCAGGTTTATGCCAAAATGATGATTGAAATGTTAATCTAGTTTTAATACGCATTTTTGTCATTATACTATATTACCTACCTACCTACAGCTGTAGTTGAATAGAATATAAATAAAATAATATGTTACAATTTAAGTAGTATTGTAAATTGAATTAATTAATTAATGGGATTCCCCTATAAAATATATTTTTTTAAATTATCCAAAAGTAAAAAAAAAATCAAAAAATGCTATTACATAACATGGGGGCCTAAACTTTTTTAACTTACATTACGACAAAATTTGTGAATTATAATATTGTGTGATATTTTTTAAAAGTAGATAAAAATCTTACCTTAATATGTAATTTTATCTTCAGGGTTCTATAGAATATATATTTAGTAGGGCTGTACAATTTAGCCGGTTAAGCCAGCTAAAAAAGTTAATTAGCTAGCTAACTGATCAGCTTAGCTAATTTAACCGGTTTACTGAATTAGCTTAGCTAATTGGCTGGCGGCTTAACCGGCTAATCTAGCTTAGCTCAGCTAATTAGCTAACGGCTAACCGGCTTAACCGGATAAATTGTACAGCCCTATTAAATATATATTCTATAGAACCCTGAAGATAAAATTATATATTAAGGTAAGATTTATATCTACTTTTAAAAAAATCACACAGTATTATAATTCACAAATTTTGTCGTCATGTAAGTTAAAAAAGTTAAGGCCCCCATCAAGAAATCTTACGCACGACTCTGATGGTTATACCTACTATGATTTTTCGGTAAAATAAGCATGATTTTTGGGTCAATGTGTAAAAAAATATACAAATAATATATTTTGTAAATCAGATCAAAAAGTTACCTTTACCATTTTCCATAAAAAAACAATGTTAATAGCATTTTTTGATTTTTTTTTACTTTTGAATAATTTAGAAAAAAAATTACGGCTAACCGGCTAAACGGCTAATTAGCTGAGCTAAGCTAGATTAACCGGTTGAGCCGCCAGTTAATTAGCTAAGCTGATCACTGATCAGTAATCAGTTAGCTAGCTAATTAACTTAGCTAACTTTTTTAGCCGGCTTAATATAAAGTTTATATTATATACAGTATGTCTCAGTATCTTGGAATCATATGGAAAACTTTTTTATTATTAATTTTAGGAAAAAAAGTTATTCTTCATAAAAAGTTCTGCATGGTGTAAAACTTAAAATTCAACCCACAAATATAATTTTTTTTTAGTCGTATACGAGGTATGTCAAAAAATATGAATTTGGCGCAGGAGTAAAGTACCTTTATATTTGACAATATCAAAAATTGTTATAAAGAAAAGTTAATCAGAACTAAAAACTACGTTTAAATATGCAATTCATACATTTACATTAAAAAATTAGGTTTTGTTAATTTTTACTAATCTTTCTATTTTAAATGAACATTTATCTGTTATGATTACAAAAAACATGAAAACCTTAAGTTAAGTCAGGGGATCTAGCAGGCCAAAAAGTTTTAGAATATCAACAAATCATTTGTTTATCAGTGAATCCTAGATTACATGTTACAGTTAAATTTGCATTGATATTGTAGACAAAAAAGAAAAAATATTTTTTTTTTAATGTAAATGGATGTAATTGCATATTTGAACGTAGTTTTTAGTTCTGATTAACTTTTCTTTATAACAATTTTCGATATTGTCAAATATAAAGGTACTTTACTCTTGAGCCAAATTCATATTTTTTGACATACCCCGTATACGACTAAAAAAAATAATATTTGTGAGTTGCATTTTAAGTTTTACACCATGCAGAACTTTTTATAAAGAATAACTTTTTTTCCTAAAATTAATAATAAAAAAGTTTTCCATATGATTCCAAGATACTGAGACATACTGTATAAATAATATAATTTTTTTTTTGTTAATTATCGGCCTTTTCAGGCATACGGACGGGCCAAATCACAAAACTGTATAAAAAAAATTGTAGATAATTTATTTTATATTATTTTGGCATCAAAATTCTCGAAAATATTCTTCTTTAATTAGGCTATACATTAGATAAAAAAGCAAGAAATATTTTATAAAAGTAGAGATAATTTTAATAATTAACAGGTGTGTATTTCCATTGTAACGGGTGCGACACTAAAACTGCGTTTTTTTTCCCGTCCACACCTTTCAATTATTAAAATTATCTCTATTTTTATAAAATATTTCTTGCGTTTTTTTATATAATGTATTGCCTAATAAAAGAAGAATATTTTTGACAATTTTGGTGCCGAAAATATTATAATAAATTTCTTATCTACAATTTTTTTATAAAAACAGTTTTGTAATTGAGGCGTTTCGCGCGCTTGAAATGGCCGTACTCACTAGTAAAGTAATTGATTATCGCCTAGGCTGTGAACATAATTAAAACCAATCAGGAAAAGGATCCTAGTCTGTAATTATCATTGTAGGTTTTATGTATCGTTTGGCAAATAAAATTATGCCTTGAAGATAAAAATTTTAATGTTGTATGCGAACCGGCTAAGAAGTTTTTTTGTGCTTCGATCAATTAAGCTTAGCACAAAAAGACTCACTTCTCAGCCTATAGGCATTATAATGACATAAATGATTATTATTTGATTTATCCAATGGATAACGAAAAAAAAATCAAACAATTTTCTACTTTTGAAATCAGTACCTATGCGTTGAATTTGAATCCTCCCGTAGGTTTTTGATAGATTCTAACCGAAAAGTAAAAAACTTGGTTTGTTGAGTACATCAAGAAATAGTTTTTCGCCACAAAACTAACATTACTCTTTCTTTCTAAATACCTTTTAAAAAACTATATCAATTAAAAAACAACACAAATTACTTTTTTACATCATGCAAGCTCTTTTTATTTTTGTCCCATAAATTATAAATTATTTATAATTATAAAGCTTTAAAATGTGTAGTAAACTATAGAGTATACTGTATATTAATAATTATTAATAATTTATTAATAATTAATAATTATAATTATAATTTGCCTCAAAAATACAAAAACAAAATAATTTATCTTAAAAATACAATTTTTTAATTGGTAAAATCCATTTTGTTCTATTTAAATATTCTTGTGAAGAGTTTTAACTGAAAACACATTTTTAATTATCTTAGACGCTTTAGTTTAAAAGTTTCCATAAAATTTTAAAAAATGGCGAATGCTCCGGGGTTAATTAACTTATTTTTGCACATTATTATCTGATTTTGCAAAAATGGCGAATGCGTCGGGATTAATAATTCATTATAATTATTCGTTTTCTTTGTCAAACTAAACAAAGTTTTAAAATCTAGTTGGTATACCCATACCAACTAGATTTTAAAATTGCATCTTTTTTTGTATCAGTACAATTAGTACAATTTGACTAAGCTTACATTTGATTGATTTATTGTGTATAAAAATAATTTTTCTCATATTTTATATTCTATAAACATAATAATCATATAATGCCAAAAATATTTTAAGTAATTGCAATTTGTTAAAATAAAATATTTTAAATTTACCGCGTTAAACAGCCAACATCGAAACCAGAGATACCAACAAAACAAAACTATCCCAAATAAAACTAGTAAACGTCAAAGTCTTGTCAAAAATGAAGATTTTAACAATTTTATTTTCGTTTGTTTCACTGAGTCTAGCAAATGCGGAATTACCAAATAGCCTCGAAGAAGTAAATGATAATGCAAGATTCACAATAGAAGGAAGAGTTTTTCCGTTATCGGATTATCAGACAACGCAATCCAATTGGCAAACAAACACGAGAATTTTAATTAATGGAGGTGAATTTCGAGGGTTCGTTAAAAAGGATGGCTCTTTCCTTATTAATAACGTGCCCAGCGGTTCATATGTTATGGAAATTTTAAACCCCGATTACACATTTGAGCCTCTACGAGTTGAAATCAATTCAAAGGGAAAATTCAGGGCAAGGAAGGTTAACTTTATTCAGTCTACTGTTGTTCCGGTCCCTTATCCTCTCAAAGTAAAGGCACTGACAAATACAAGGTAACTGAGTTTTATTTCTATAAAAATTTTGTTATTTTGGTACCTCAGAAGAAAATTATGTTGATTTACAAAACATTTATTTTTTTTAGATATTTTCAAGTAAGAGAACAATGGAGACTCACAGACTTCATATTTAATCCAATGGTTATGATGATGTTCTTACCATTGGTGTTAATAATGATTTTGCCAAAAATGATGAATGATCCAGAAACCAAAAAAGAAATGGAACAAATTCAAAACTTAACCAAATTCGAAATGCCTGAAATGGGAGATTATGTATCAAATTTATTAGCAGGCACTTCAAATAGTCCTAGTCAAGATAAGAAAAAAGCTATAAAAAACAAGAAAAGGCAATAATATTTAGTCCAAAGACGGATTGTGGGGTTTATGATAATTTATTGTTTAGGTTTTTAAAACCAGTTTTTGTTAATAAAACTACAAATACAAATAAAGTATGTGTTTTATTCTTGTTCAAGTTTTAAAGGGGGTTCCATTTTAAATTGTCTGGGTACAAAATTTTTGGTGACTATTTTGTGATTTATTTACGAAATTTGTCAGTCATTATAGGTATAATACCTAATACAAATTAAAATATGTTTACCAGGTAAATGGTGCTCTTTCTCTTAATACCCTAACTCCATATTTTTCCCATTCACTGGCCTGTATCCATAGTTCATGTGCAGTTTCCAGACAAGACATTATACAGGCCCCCTTCCAGGCAACCATTGAAGAATCCATATCCCTAGGATTTATAATAATGTCCAATTGTTCCCCTCTGTATAAATAGGGAATTTGTAGGGATATTCGGTTTTGCAACCAAGTCGTTATACCCGCAAATTTCATACCACCGCCAACTACTAAAATGCATGCATACATTTTTCGTTTGAGTTCCTCATTGGGGCAGCGGTCAATGCTCTGCAAAACTGCTTGATCTAAACCTAATAATAACAAAATAAATTTTGAAATAAAATTAACTATGTTGTCCAAGCATTTTTTACCTAATATTTGTCCAGGATTTATAACAAACTCCCTAACATTGCTGGGGGCAACTGGATCCATAGCATCCACCACAATATCATCATCATTTACATTACTTTGTTGATTTTCCAAATAGTTTTCACTCAGGAGATCAGAGGCAGAAGGTTCCATACTTTCCTTCATACCTTTCCGCCTAATATCTCGTAAATAAATTTCGTCGTGAGGATCTTCAGGATCCCCTGAGGATACTTTCTGAGTATGAGTTACTTTTGCACCTAAATATATAAAAAATAACAATAGTTTGAAAAATTGCATGCAATATACCTGTAATTCCAAATAACTCAGGACTGAAAAGACTAAGGGGCGCCACTATGCATTCATCCCCAACCTGAATGGTAAACTGAAAAACCGGCTTTTCAGGTTGTTTTAATATAAAAGACTTCTCCTGTGACCCGCAAATATCCAAGTTAACATGGCAAAAATCCTCCTTCAGCTTCCTCAACAACATGGTATCCAATTTATTATTATCCCTACAATCTTTGTAAGGAAACGCGCATTTTTGTAGCAACCAATAAAATATTTGCGTTATATCCCCACCCCCATACTCAAGCCTTACCCTTGTGTTAGGATGGCAAATACCATCCTCAACACAAGAGACAGATGTTTTTTGATCTCCAACATCTACTACGCAAGCATAACTCAAACCAGATCCAAAAGTGGCTGCCACATGGTCCTGAACCAAAAAACAACTCCCAAAACCCATTTTTATTAACAGCAAATACATGAGCTCCCTCAAGTGAACCCTATTATACACATCAGGTATCACCAATACAGCTTTATGAAACTTGAAATCTTTCTGTGCTATTTGAAAGTTGGTCTCAAGAATATGTGTCCAAATAGTTTGTAAATCAGCTATTATAGCCGTCATTGATCCATTAGGACCCGAGTGAATATTAAATTCACCCCTTTTGTAGGGAAAATGTACATTATATTTCTCATCAGGATCCAAACGAAGTATATCATTGCCTATTACAACATCCCCTTCATGTTTTACCCATTCCCCACCATCGACAGCAATTTGTTCTGGCTCTGTTCTCCTGTTAAACGCCGCAATCTGTTGTGGAGGCGTTGCATACCTTAAAATTACATTACAGGGGAAAAAAATCCAAAAGTCAATAGTTTACCTTCTACGACCATCAGATTGCAAACAAGATTGTAAAGTATGTGACACAGCCAACCTCGCTTCATCAAATTCGTGGGGTTGATTCAAATCAATGCGTTGCGGTAAGAAATCGTCGCTAAAAGGTGTTCCACCAGGTAGTCTTCTCCTAGCAATAGCATGTAAAACTGTTACCGGGTTTAAGTCTGACGCTCTACCAATTCTTAAGTTTAACGACCCTGGATGGATGACTATTATGCTTTTCGAGTGCACCTGTTCGGGAAGTGCTTCAGCAAACACCGGTGTCATTTTTAGTGCAAGTTTAATTCAGAAAACATTGAAAAATCCAACAAATTACCCGGAACTTGACAGGTTTTTGTTTGGTTAGGTCGTTGTTTTGGTACAAAAGAACTACTGTCAAATTTAAACCAATTTCCAAATTTGACGCTTTCCGGTAACTAGACGTCAGATTTTAGAATGTTTGTTTTCGGAATTAATTATTTATTTTTGGAAATACTAATTATTATTACTTAGGTATTATTTGGTTTTCAAATTTAGAAAGTTTTTTAAAAGGCGGGAACATGCGTGTAGGCGATCAATAGGCGTTTGCATTACAAACTTTGTAAACAGTAGTATCAAAACGACGGCAGGTGCCCTTCTCGCTGGTTCGTCGACCCTTCGCATCGTGCGCTTAGCGCGCTTTTTACTCCCACAGAGCAGGGAGGAGTTTGCTGATTAACATTGCAGGGGTTGTTTTGAAAAAATGTCGGGAAACGATGTTATTAGTGGTTATTTGGACGTGAAAATATCTTCGAGAAGTAGAAGAGGCCTGACACCATGGAAGGTAAGTGTTATTTCAGTAAAATGTTTGTTATTAGTTAAGAAAATCGTTTGTTTATGTTATGAAAGGCATGGCAGAAGCAGTGGTGTGAGATCAGACGTCTAGACAGCATTGAGAATGGGGTTGAAATGAAGTTAAAGTCCTCGCCAGAAGGTTCAGTTTTAAATTGCGTTATTTTGCCGAGATCTTCAACAATTTGTAGAACTGAATCAAGAACAAAACAGTATGCATTTGGTGTATTTACTTTAGGCAGATATCAAAAACCAATATTATTTTTGTCTGGGAACTCTGAGAGTGATTCACAAGATTGGATATCTGATATAAGAAGATTACTCTGCATTGCATCTTATTTACCAGGTAAGGGTTTTGATTTTAGTTAAGGTGACAGGAAATTGGTAATTTAATGTTAAATGAGTTTTAATTACTTCTAATTAAACAACTTAATTCAACTTTAACATTCCAGACATTCTTGGATTACTTATAAAAATACACTTTCTATTATAATAAATAAATAAATAAATAATAATAGTATAGGTAAATATTTTATAAAGTATTTTGAGGAAAATTAAAATTTACTTGTATTGATTTATTTATATTATCAAACAATAAACCACAATATTTACATAATTAATCTATAATTAATTTATAAGACAAGGGGTGTCCATTTTGTTTATTTTTGAAATAATCATGTTCAAAGTTTAAACCCAGATTTTAACATGAACATGAAGAGGCAAAATTGTTTATTTTTCTATGACTTCCCAGCAAAACCATAAGTCTAATTATTTCATGGCTTAATAATGGCATTTTTAGCCAAATCTTTTCTTGTACTGGGCCTTTACAGGATGTTTTAGTAAAAATAAAAGGCTGTGGTGATAAGGTCTTGCAATGGCTCTTTTTAGGCTAATATTTGTATATTTTACCATAAAAGATATATAACAATTTCCGGGATCAAGTTAATGGGACTTTAAAAAACCATTAAAGTGCCAAATGTTTTCTGTAGGTACCTATAGGTATATATACCTATAAAACTTACATGAACCTTTAATTATCCTTTGGTTAAGGCCATATTGTAAAAATGACGCCCAGTGTAATTCCTTTAGTTTTAATAGTGTGTTACCTACATGATAACTTAAGTCATAATTATATCACATATAAATATAATAAGAATAAATTATGGTTGTTAAATTTAAATAAGTAAGTTGGTGCATTTTTAATTTTACAAATTTTAGAATTCTTATTACAGCAAAATACCGTCAAATAATTTAGTAGAAACGTTTAATTAATAAGGTCAAAATTGGGGCAATTGCAAATAAAAGAAATTAAAAAAGGCAAAGAAAACCTGGTTTTCTTAAGAAAACCTGGTTTACTTTGTTATAGAGGATAACAACAAAAAATCAAATAAATATTTTCCATTTACTTAAGGATTTTTTTATTTATTTAAATATTATGGATTCTATTTATTACTTAATAAACAGTTTTTTAAATAATTTCTTTTATGTTTTATACAGGTCTTTATTACAACACATTGCTTTCTAATTTGTCTTGTAAATTTATGAAGATATTAGTATTACATTTCGCGATAATATATTAATTAATGTAATGGATAAGTAAAGTATTTATTATTATTATTATATGGTAGATTAAATGTGGTTTGTTTATATTTATTGGGTCGGATATTCCACGATAATTTTTATCCCTATTGTCAACAATTTCTGAATATCGGGGAATGTTCTTATCTAATAAATATATACCTACCATATTTAATCCACCATAATAGATACTTCACTTATCCATTATAAATTATTTAAATAACCACTTTAGAATCTTTAACACCCCATATCTAAAAATGGAATGGTTCTTGTTAGTGCCTTTATTGTCTGCTGTTACATGCCCATTAAAGGTGAACGCGACATAATTTGTGCAGTTCCATTAGAGTTAGCCTTTATAGGGCCTAGGTTCATTAAAGGCACGTTTATAAAGGGCCATTATAGAACCTTTACAGTTGTGTAAGCTAAACCCTGTATCTGCAAAATTATGTAGGGACAATAGATAATTTTTATAGTTTTTAAAAATTAAATTTATCGTTTGTAACTTAATATTGTTACTATTTACTAGTTAATATTGTTTGGTTTAGCAGGGCAGTATAGTTTCCAGGTAAAACATTTATTTGCTCATCATACAACAAAATTTTGGTACTAAATAAAAAATTTAAAATGAACCCAAAGGCCTTAATTTTGTGAAAAAAATATCACTGGTCATAAATTTAAAAAACACCACTCAAAGGGAAAAAAGTTTTTAAGAAAAAAATGTATATTTTTTTTCTTTGTTATGTTACAAAAAAAGTGATTTTTATGAATTCAGATACTCACCTCAAAAATAGACATTTTTGTATTTATCACTTTTCTTCTGTACTGATATAATTTAAGCACCCAACAATTATTGTTGGGTGCTTAAAAAGGTTTTACCTCATCACTTTCTTTTCAACTATTTCCCTGAAACCGGTAGGTATAATATTCATATTATGCCCCAGATAACATGTAAAATCAGATGTGACTCACATGATGTTAGCTCATATACACTAGAGGTGGGCTGTTCGATACAGAAGCTGTATCGATACGATATCGATATCTTTCAAAATATTGATACAATTTCGATACGATTCGGTTAGATTAAAAAAAATTGTAGAAAAAATAAAAACTTTTATTAAATGAATTTAATTATTAATTAGTGCGAAGGTAACGAAAAAATATATATACCTATAGGTATATGAAAATTTGCAATTTATTTCGCAATTGTTTACAATGTAAACTTTAAATAACTTGAAATAACTTAAACCAACCAAACCATAGAAAAAGGACAATCCACACAACATTTGTTGTGTGGATTGTAAGAAAAAGTACCAAACCAAAGTCAAAACTACACTGAGAAAATTTTTTATGGTTTCCAAATAAAAAGAATAAATATATATGGGACAGAAGAATTGTTTATTTATCCTAAATATATTTTTATTCCTGACACATAAAGTTTTACTAAAGTAAATTTATCGTTATTATTTCAACTATTTAGAGGTAATAAACAATATATTCACTATTAATAAAAAGTATTAGCTACACAGTTTATTTGTTCCATTTTTTCTCAGTGTAGTTTGCTGCAATACCAACTGCCAGCTTTGATCGAACAAACTTCCAAAATTTCGCTTATTAAAAATACGGTATAACCGCAAATTTTCATATATGGCATTTTAAGGACTTTTCATAATTAGCTAAATAATCGATACAATGTATTCGATACATAAATTTATATCGATTCTAACGATATCCCGTTCGTATCACTTGTATCGATACGTATCGTATCGAACAGCCCACCTCTAATATACACACACAGTTGTCTCATTGATTAATATCCTTCACTCAATGGTTGTGTGATCACCACAAGCTCACAGCCTACTTGTGATTGTTGAATGTATTCAAAATCCGAACAGGACAGGGATGACATTTAAATGTAGAATACATTAAACTTAAAACAAAATATATAATTATTAATAACAATAAAAAAAATAGTCAGGTTCCAGCGCTTGAGAAGGCGCGACGCGTGTGGGAAGGCTCTTAAAACGTAAAAGTTTAAAGATTGAAACCAACAATAATTTTTAAAAAGTGCAAACTAATAAAGTGAAACAAACAATTTTCATAGAGTGCAAGCTAGAGTGGTGTAGCGGTCATTGAAGAGTGAAGTGTTAAGTGATATGAATGAGTTAAGTGCCACCTGTCTTTGGACGCTTTTCACTGGACAGACAAAGGAGGTCAAACAAGAGGGGAAGTGGCCATCCGCAAAAAAATTGATAAGTTACCTTAAGAATATGCATGACCTAATACAAAATCTGCAATTTAAATACGGCAGATATCTTTAAAACATATGAAAGGCACACGGAGTAGGGCAATAAATCTGTCAACAACAAGTGCGTAATGCAATCCCAAACGAAACCGAAAATAAACACTAGACTCACAGAATAAACTAACATTAATCATAATAAACCTAACACAGTAAAAAAGAGCATAATAATCAAACTCTACTAGATTTGTAATCATTAGATAACAGAATAATTGCGCTTGTAATTTGTTTAACTAATAAATAAATGCAATACTTAATTTTGGAATTTAAGAAAAAAAGACAAAACTCTACCACAAAACGTGCTTGGGACAAATTTATTAAAAACAACTAAAACACTTTACAAAGTGCAGGAACTATCTGACCAGGACACGGACAATGACAATAACGAACAAGACAAAGACCTCGACTAGGAAACTACACCCTGCAGCGAAATACCAACTCCCCAACTCCAAATAGTAATCCCAAATGTTTGGAGTAATACTAATCGACTGGTCCAAAAACCAACACCCTCCCGTCCCTCCTCCTATACCCCACTGAGCGTATAGCATAGGCTCGGCGAACCCGAGAATGGCTATTAAAACTATTCGCCTCTCGCTCTCGAGCCCCAAATAGGGGACAGTACGGAACGCAATGGACATTCGCACCCAGCAAACACGGGTGAAGCCGTGCAGTTGTTGGGGAAGAACAAAAATCGGCTTAAGTAAACATAGGCCTGTACGGGGTTCGAGAGTCAAGAGGAAATGGGGCTGGTTATACGTATATATATATATTTTTTTTTTTTTATTGATGTACGTAAACCTAAAGAACCCATTGTGGGTTATATATATATATATATATATGTATATATTTCTCTTATACTCATACTCATATTAATAATATACTTCATACTTTATACTTTATACTCATACTCATATTAATAATAATAAAAAAATTATAACAATAAAAAATTTATAATTATTAATAATTCTATACATAAAATTTTAACTCTAGTTTTAAATTGCGAGTTTCTAAGAGTGTGCAAGATCTTATTACTATTACTATTCTTACTTATTACTCTAATTAGAGTAAATTACGTAAGTGATTCACTTGATGATGTATATGTGATTTCACATGGATATCACGAATATTATCTTCTCTTTTTTTTTGTTTTTACAGTCGGCGAATCAAATTTCCGCGTTTCGCTCATCGACACAGCTCATTCGAGGACCGCAGGCCTATTCGGCTTGTACGGCGTGCTCGGCATCAACTCCCAAGACATCACCATCAGCGACCCGTGCACAGGCGAACCGAAAATCACGTGGCAATGGTACCAATTTCACCAGTTCCACCTGCAAGCGCCCGCGCAACCCAAAGACGACAAGATGGTGGTGGTGATGCACACGAGCGGAGAATTTCCAGCCGGTCCTGGACAGCTCTACTTGTACTGCAAACAGGGCGTCAAACTGCTCAATCACCTGGTGGGGCGCGGCAAGCGACCCAAACCGAGCCCCGGCCTGATATCAACGAAAAGACTGAGCCGCAGCGAGGGGGACCTTTGCGGCGGCGGCGGTGGCGGCAGCCACGGCCCCTGTCCCCCGGATAGTCCAATGTGCTTCAGAAGTCAGACGGGCAGCGATGACTCCGGCGTGAGGGTTTCCATCGCGTCCGACGACTCTGGATACGTTTTGAAAGCGAAGACTGCATCTAGTTTAGTTAGCATAGGAATGGCGCTGCTGACCAAAACTCCCGGCGGCAGCGAAAACAATGACGACTCTGTGCCTGATTTGACCAACATTGATGAGCAATACTTGTAAGTACATTTGTATATTTTAACACGACCTTTCGACTGGTAAAGCTTAATTTTCATGTATCCGTTTGTCCGTCAGTCCGTTCATCCGGGAGCGCTCTTATTGGTCCAATTATAATTCGAAAATTATGACATTTTCTCGGTCCGTCAAGTTTCAACTTCGTACGTCTGACAGAGAAAGGTTAAATAATTTTAACTCATCCGTCACTACACATCTGTTTTTGACGCCTAACGTTATTTTAAGATAATTTATTTTCAAATATTTTTATATTTTTTCAATAAGAATGTAAAACGGAAATATTACGTTCGTTATGTGAATAATGTTTTACTGTTAAGTTTTTATTCAATAAGAATAACGGAAAAAAAGAAAGGACAAACAAAAAAAATTAAAACTAGAACTAAAAAGACCTGCTTTTTTAAAACTAAAACTTTTAATGTATATTAGGGCTAGTAGGTATATTCTTTTTATAAGGTATATTTACCTACCTTTAAATTTATTAGACAGCTAACTGTTAAAGTTACAATTTTTGACATAATTGTAACTATGACAATTAAGCATTAGGTAAATTTAGTAAGTGAATATACTGACACTTAATTTCTATTTGTCGCAAAATCAATCCGTGAAACGTCATTAAAAAACGTATGCATGAAAATTGAAACATTTCTTATCGGACGATTTTATTGAAAAACTGACATACGGATGACGGACAAACGGATAAATTAAAATGAAAAAAATATTAAAACCAGAACTAAAACGACCTGCTTTTTTAAAACTATACATTTTAATGTAAATTAAGGCTAGTATATTCTTTTTATATGGTATATTTACCTAGGTACCTTTAAATTTATTAGACAGCTAACTGTTAAAGTTACAATTGTTGACATAATTGTAACTATGACAATTAAGCATTAGGTAAATTTAGTAAAGTGAATATACTGACACTTAATTTTTATTTGTCGCCAAATCAATCCGTTAAACGTCATATAAAAACGGATGCATGAAAATTAGAACATTTCTTATCGGACGATTTTATTGAAAAATGTACAAACGTATAACGGACAAACGGATACATGAAAATTAAGCTTAAGTCGTCTTCAGGTGAATTCTGAATAAACCTGTAGCTATTTAACTTATTTAATCGAGGAAAACTGGTTTTCGTCACCTTTGACCTTCGATATTTGGCGCGACCTTACGATTTTGATACATTATTACCAGTGTCTAGAGATGTAAAAAACTGTTTTTTTGTTTTTCTTCGAATCCGCTACAATAAAGCATATTCTGTCAATAAATAACATCAATCTTAAAAAATGGAGAAATTTTTCAAAATGAAATTTTGAGTAAAATGTATATTAATAATAAAATGAAATGTAGAATACCTATGCTACATTTTTCATTATTGAAAATTTTGACTGAGACTAAAAAATCTGATTTCTTATTATTTGGTGGTACACATAAAAAACCAATAGAAATGTAAAACTTCTACACTAATAGAAAAAATTAAAGCATAAAAAAAATTCCAAATTTTTTTCGATTTTTTGGATAGCTGTATTTTCGTTAAAAATGGTCGTACTGGAGCCGTAAAAAAGGCAATTTGAAGCTTGAAGTTTCTAGTCTTTAGATTTTTAGATGAAAAACGTGCAACGCTCAATCCTAACGAACACCGTAATAAAAAAAAAACAGAATGTTCTGACTTAACCACCAATGAATAAATGTTCTACAAGAATTTGCTATTGCTTTTTTGAAAAAAAAAATTCTATACCTACTCTACATGAATTTGAAAAATTATGGAAAAAGTGCTTTTGGTAGCTTTTTGAAAAATCAAGCGCTGAATCAAAAATATTATAGGTAGTTAATTTTTTTACGACCGAATCAAAACAAGCGCGGCCCTTATTGGTCAATTCGGTGGTGGTGGCGCGTGCATAGCGCGAGACTGTATTTACATTTACTAAATGTCATTTAGTGGCTAATTTTAGTCCATAAACTGGACAGGAAACATAAAAAATTAGGCAAATGGGACTAATCTTGAAAAAAAAAACGTAAAGTATAAAAAAAAACATTTGAAAAAAGACAATGAAAAAGAAAACGGAACGTCGCATCTCTACTAGTGCCCATATAAACAAGATTCTGAAGGAAAAAGAAGATTTTTTTTCCTAATTTAACTGGGCTTAACAGCATAAAACTGTGTTAAAGAAGTTAAATAAAATAACTGTCTAAAAATGTCAAGGGGTAAACCACTGCTTTTTTTAAAATTATAAATCGCATACAAATCAATTGCTAAGGAAAAATCACAAGGGTAGTCAAACGCAACGTGTCGCTAAGAGACATTTCTTATTGATAAGATTTTTTCCTTATTGATAAGGGTTGATTAAGAAAAAATCAGAGCACAACGTTCATGTAACGCTGAACTTTGTTCTCGCTGATTTTAGAGTGGTTTACCCTTCAAAAAATTTGTTCATTAACTACACAGGCCCACAAAATAAAAAAGTTGTGTATGGTTTATTTCTTAGGGGCCGTCCATAAATGATGTCACACGTTTTTTAAATATTTTTGACCCCCCCCCCTCCCCCACTTGTCACAAAGTGTCACAAATTATGGGACCCCCCCCCCCTCCCCATTGGCGTCACGTCACACTGATTTAATTTTTATGTAAGGTCTAAAATAAAATCTTAATATCCAGTTTATAACCATTATTAATTATTAACTTCCAAAATATTTTTATAATTTTGTGACATCACAACCTACCAAACCTCCCCCGGCTGTCACAAACTGTCACATTTTCTACGACCCCCCCCTCCCCCCTAAGTGTGTGACATCATTTATGGACGGCCCCTTACCACATGCAACTTTTTTACTTTGTGGGCCTGTGGTATCACCAAAGTTATAAAATTTAAAATCTTGATTTTAAAAAATACATGTTTTCCTATTCTGCCGTGCTTAATGAAAACGCCGTAACCAACAATTTTGCAATTTTTGTTTTACGGCATTTTCTACTAGAACAATTCATCCTGCGTCTATCCCCGGTACTCAAAAAACCGTATCTATATATATACGGTTTTTTGAGTACCGGGTATAGACGCAGGATTAATGGTTCTAGTAGAAAATGCCGTAAAACAAAAATCGCAAAATTGTTGGTTACGGCGTTTTCATTAAGCACGGCAGGATTGAAAACTTTGAGTGCCATATTAAAATAAAATGCTGAAACTAGGCAAAATTTTTTTTTATTTCAAACCAACCACTGTTGTAAAAAAAAATCGAACATGTATTGTTAAAAAATTAATATAAAAAAAACTCATTTTTGCACAAAATAAATATCTAACCATATAATTAAAGATTGCAAACATTAGTTTTAAATTGTGAAAAATAATAATTTTATAACAAAAACGCATTTTAAGTATTTTTATCTACTCCTACATTGACGAGCTGTGACTATGGGGTTTTAGTCACGGGCTGAATTTAGCAATAGTGACTTTTGGGCATTTTAGTCACAGGCTGAAGTTTGCTTTATTACAAATAAGGGGAAAAGTAAAGTTAAATCCGTTAAAAGTTGACAGATGTCAAATGTTTAACAAATAAAATTGGCTTTAAATTATTCTTTGTGTTCATTGTAGATAAAGTATAGTATGCAACTCGTTTTATAAACTTCTCTAGACACTTGTTTTTATTAAACACTCGTTCGCAAGTTTCGCTCGTGCCTAATAAAACTCGTAACTAAAATGTCGCTTATAAAACTTGATACATAATATACTATTTTACCATCACTTTAATTTCAATTTTATCGTAAACATGTGTTTTATCGTCGCGACACGTCAAAGCTATTTGACAAATTCCAAAAATTAACGAAAATTTGAGCAGGGTCTGTAAAATTGTAGGGATGTAACGATACCGATACTCACAGCAAATATCGGCCGATAACGATACCAACAGCATATTAATAAGTATTTACGTAATTTATGTACAACTCACAGATGTTTTTTTGGGTGTTTGTCCTTTATTTTAAAAGAAATGAGAACAAATTATAAGCGTTTTAAATTGAAATAACTTTTATTTATTATAAATAATTTATAATTATTACAATCATAATTTCTATTTTATAACAATTTTTATTAATAATATTTAATGAAATAATAATTGAATAATTATAATAATAATAATTTAAATAAATTTTGTTTTCCAAATAAGAATCTTTCAAAGGTAAACTTTAATTTTTAAGTATTAAATGAATAATAAACATTATTATAAATATTTATATCAAAGGTGAACTTCAGTTATTTACATTGTTTAACAGTATATTAAAAATTAAAATTTACCTTTGAAAGATTCTTATTTGGAAAACAAAATTTATTTAAATTATTTTCAGACAATCTGTTGAAAAAAGACTTTCTGAGGCAACTGAGCTTAATTGAACATACCTTTGCCCAAGCTTTTTCAAATTTGGATACCCGTATCGGCCGATATATCGGTATCTTTACATCCCTACTAAATTGTTACAAAATAATTAATAAATACAAAACTTGAGATCATTTAAATTTTTACACTAAAATAAACCTAAAATAAATACTACTTTTAGAAAATGTTCTTTACCAAGACGAGAATCAGGAGTATCTTTGGCATCCGGTATCTATGAAGAAATTCCCGATGACTATGTAACAAAATCAAAGAAAAAAGAAAGTCACATCTATGAAAATCCCTTGGAAATGATTTTGGACGGAAAAACAGGAAAGCAATTCAAACCGCCACCTTTACCTCCCCGACGAAACGAACTATCACCTGATTGGTGAGTACACAAAAAATATGTTTTACAACTTTGTATCCATTTGCTACGGACCGACTGTTTATTTAATCTTTCTTATTACAGTAATGAAGACATGTTGCCATGTGATCTCCTCCTCAACTCGCCCATAACTTTCAAGCAGCGTTGCAACACGTTGCCGGCCAAAGATTTGGCGAGGATGTCGCAGATTTTCACCGCAGAATCGGACTACGTGATAATGAGCCCGAGCAAAACGCTGGAAAAACCGAGAAAACCCTCGATATCCGAGAGTCTGTACATGCCAATGTCTCCAGTCATCCAACTGAAGAACAAAATCGTCGAAAGTTACTACATGAGTATGACTGGAGGAAAGAAAAATTAACTATGGTATATATAAAGCTTGAATGCTGTTGTTATGTTATGTTTTACGTCAGGCAGGTTTGCTTAACAAGATATTGTACTGTTAAATGTAAAAAAAGTTTAAATGAAACAATACATACATAAATTATATTTTACCAGTTTTTTAGTATTGAGTTCAGAAACTTTTTTACACGTTTAACAGTATAATAATATTTATTTTTCCGCACAAATTATATGCATTTAAGTTTTATCAATAACAAAAAACTTACATATCTTTTGTAACAAAAATATATCAATAAAGTACCATGCTCAAATTGCCCAAAGATGAAGATAGAAAGTACAAAATACAATTTATTTCGAAGCTTTTGCTCAAGTTTAGATCTCTTAGCTTTTGTACAGTATCCTGGCAAAGTAAACCAAAAAGCAATTTTAAAAGATTGAATTTAGAACCAAATTTTTTACGCTAATTATTTTTTTTAGTTTGGTAAATATTGTATAGAATGTTGACTCTAAAACGCCTTTGCTTCTTGCCTTTTCATTGTTAAGTGTTGTTGTTATTTAAATTGTTTGCTAGTTTTAAGTAAAGTCACCTCTAGGAAAATTTTGGATCAATCAATAATGGATTTTTTCTGCAAATCTGTGATAATGGTTAATTAAATTTGAAAAAACTATTATGAGAAATTATAATTTATGGCCTAAAGAAATGTTGCATCTGGCTTAATAAAAATTGATTGTATCTGTGTGACTAAAAAAATTGCTATAAGATTTTATATATTTTCCTTTTAATGTTATTTTATATTTACCATTTTTAATATTAAAGCCAGTATTATTATTTATACTTGTCCTTTTGACATCCTACATATTATGTAATCAATGTAAAGTTTATAACTATAGCTTAAATAAATTTTTTCAAATATAAATGACATTTTTACTCCACTGGCGTCTGCCGGCAGTCCGCGTACGACCCGCGAAAATTGCCGAAGCCAAATACTACTATTTGAATAATTTGAATAAAGCAAAAATAGAGGTAAAAACTGGTAGTCTAACAATTTAAATATTTTATTTTAATTTATTTAATATGTCATTTAAAGCAAATATTAAATATATTAAAATAAAATATTGAAAAAGTGAAAAATATATAGGTATATACCTATATATTTTTCACTTTTTTATTTACAGAGTTAATTATAAGTAAGTAGTTAGAAATAGAATTTAAAAAAATAGTTTTAGAGTTAAAAATATTTGCTTTAAATGACATTAAATAAATTAAAATAAAATATTGAAAAAGTGAAAAATATATACATAGGTACCTATATAACTATATATATTTTTTTATTTACAGAGTTAATTACAGTTAAAAAGAGAATTTAAAAAAATAGTTAAAAACTACCAGTCTAACAATTTAAACTAGACTACCTCTAAAACTATTTTTGCTTTAAATATGTATGTATGTACCCGCCATTATTCAAATAGTAGTATTTGGCTTCGGCCATACAAATATTTGTATTTTACATTTGTAAAAACCATAATTAATTAATTAATAATCATAATATATTAGAAAAAGTAAATGGAAACAAAACATTTGACAAAGTTATTTATTTACTATTTAATTAAAAAAATACAAAAAATCACTTTTTAACCATTTGTAGTGACAAAACTTTCTTTTCTTTTTCGGATGGATTGACAAATTTCTTCCCTTTTCGTTTTGGTTTATTTTTGGTAGACACAAATCGAAGTTGTTTTTTTATTTTTTTGTTGGGTGGCTCCAAAGAAGACTCTGTGGATACGAAGGAAATTTTATCTGTTTTGGAAAGTGCATTTATAATGCTCTCCACAGGAGCTAGCTGTTTTATGACTGCATGTAACTGGGTTTCATTTTCTATATTATTATATGTTTTTATAAAATTGTCCAAAAACTCTTGTTTCCTTTTAACAAACACATCTGTCTTTGTTGTGCTTACAACATTTAATATGTCATTTTCTTCATTAATTTCCTGTATCTGTTCTTCAAGATTAAGATCACAGTTTTCTTTGGTAGTTGAAGTTTCTGCTGTTAGTTCATTATTTCTTAAATGCATACACACCATGTGGATATGTTTGCACATATTCCATTTTATGGAATAATCAATGCAACTACATGAGTAAGCATGAATGCAAGCATTGCATTCTTGACAATATAGCCCACAAGTACACACAGTTTGGAGAAATTTCACTGTATAAATATCATCACATTTGGTAGAAGATACATTCCAAAAATCCCCCATATCCAACAGTGTATTTTTAAGACCCAATGATCTTTGGTGGGTTTGTCTAATAATAGACAGTTTTTTTGTAAGTTTTCCTTTATTTAGGACATATAGTCTGTCAAATAATTTATCTCTTAAAAATTTCATTAATATAATTATGGCTTTGTCTAACCTTTTAACTTTTTTTCCCCCAAAATAAATATGCTTTATAACTTTGTGCATATTTTCTAAGCACATATTTGTATTTATGCCAGTCTTTTTGCGGTAACAATATGCCCAAGTACTGCACTTATTATTTTTTACATAAGTTTCAAAATATTTACCAAATTCTGAACAGTCAGGATCCGACTTAAGTTCCTGTAATAAATTATCAACCATTACTTTAAATGTGAGCATATCCAACTCATACATTATTATTTTTATTTTTTTATATACTATGGCTTGTTTTTCTTTAGTTGATATTTTATTTAAATTTTGTCTCCAAGCCCTATCAACGTGCCAGCTACAATACAATCGATTTTCAACTGGGCCTATTATAGTTATCCATGCATTATAGAAGGCTTCATCCATATCCGACATAAATACCTTGGGATGTATAGGAGAATCATTAATAGAAACTTTTATTATTTTAAAATATATTTCCATAACAACTGCATCTCCTCGATTTGAAAATAAAAAGCTGCAGGGGAAGCCTTGCCTCAAATCATCTAAAATCATAAGGGTGTAGAGTTGAAAATCATATGCATTGAGGCCATGCGTTCCGTCAATGCATACACAGTCATTACCAAACTTTTGCAAAATTGTTTTTTGTGCATCGTTCATTAGGATTAAAAGAAAATCTTCTTTTTTAAGCACAGGATAATGTTCTAAATAAACTCCTTGTGGTTTGTAAAATCTAATAGCATTAGATGTTTTTTGCATGTGCATAATCCATGTTTCTACACTTAAATAATCGTTTTTATTTAAAATCTCTTCATGATTTAAATTATAGGAACTTGCAATGTTCCACAGGTCTTTTCTAGTTATAAGATGAATTCTTTCAAGGACACCATTCATAACTGAGTCACGAATTTCGTCTAAAATATTTTCAAACGGTATTTTTAGAGCAAGTTTTTGTGCAATTATATCTTTCTCACATTGGGATATATTTAAATGTCTAAGGTCTAATTCATGTCCAACATGGGTTTTAATGTATTCAACTTTTACATTCTTATCAGTAGTTACATAGGCAGTAATGTTGGCTGGACAAAAATAATTAATTTTATTGGAACCACCCAATTTTTGATGTCGAATACCTTTACCTTTAGAGCAGAATAGTCCATCCCTGTGGCAAATATACTTGGTGACTTTAACATTATTTACAAGCCGAGTTCGAGTTGGTTTTACAAAACATGACTTAGTTTTTTTTTCTAACTCTGCTTTCCAGGCTTGAAACTTCTCAAATGAGTCAAAAAATAAGTTTTCACTTATAATGTTTAACATATGATCTTCTTGATAATGTATAAGTCCATCTTTTTTCTTTGATGCTTTAAAATTACAATAATAACAATTAATGTGTTTATCTTTATTGCAACTCATGGATTTTTCATGTCTCTCAAGATGTGACTTTCTTAAAAATATCTTGTCACATATTTTACATTTATAATTGGCAACAATATTTCTATGTTTCCATTTATTATGAGACGATATTGCACTTGCTTTCTGAAAACATTCTCCACATGTTTCACATATGTATTTAATATCAATTATTTCATCATTGTTATTGTTGGAAATATTACTAAGAACTATGTTATCGCTTATGCTGGTAGATGGAAAATCATCTAAAACATAAATATATATTTGGCTTAAACCACACAGAATTAATCCCAACAGGCTACTTACCATCTAATGTCATAGCAAAATCTCTATTTGAATTGCTGTTTTTAAAAGCATTATTCATATTGATATCTTCTGTTTAAGCAGCAATAAACAAATATGCAGTCGTTATAATTTAAAACATAACGTCTTTAAAAAATAGGTTATGGTTACTCAGTCACATGACACATGATTCGCGGGTCGTACGCGGACTGCCGGCAGACGCCAGTTTTTTACTCCACACCATTAAATAAAATAAAATTTAAATTATATTAAAAATAATTTAATAAATTACATATTATTAAGCTAAGCAAATGAACTATTAGCCCATTGTACAACCTCAGTTGGCAATCCATGAGATTTTTTTATCGCTTCTGATATTTGCTGTGGTGTCACCAACAAACTAAAAGGTTGGTATTCCTTTTGAGTTTTGTTACCAGATATTTTCGATATAAGTTCCAATTTCTGAAATAAACTGTTAAAATAATAACTTCAATTAAAAAATAACTTACTTCAATATGTTCAAACGCCTTCATGACCACATTTCTTTGCGTTATTTGCATATTGGAATTGGCATTTGCAAACTTGGTGTATCTGGTCAAAATCATTTCAAAATTGGGTTGGGTATCATAAATTTCCATGTGGTGTTTTATTGCAATAATAAGACACAATTCCAAACAAGTTAAATCCTGAAGCACTTGAACTGTTTCATCTTTTTCTAAAATGTTTAATTGTTCTTGAAACTGTTCTATGGACAGGGAAGATCTATTTTCATTCAAAGTTACAACTATTCTTATCTGAAAGTTAAAAAATTTAAACTTTATTAATTAAAAAGTATAAATTACTACTAACCAAGATGTTTTTTAATGTATGGACCGATAAATCAATATCAATAATCCTTTGCAAAATATTTTTGAATTTTTTCTCGTTCATTATATCCTCTAAATTTGAATTCCACGCCTTTTTACTAGCAGCACTGATTTTTAAACTACCTGGTAATTTTAGGTAGTATTCTATTTTTTCCAAATATAAATCAAGGTTTGATTTATTTTCATCTTCCTGTCCAGGAAACAGGAAGAACTGTCTGTGAGAAAACCTTGACTTAACCCTTTTTTCTAATAATTCTATTACATCTAATCTACAGGTTATTCCTAAAATATAAATTGAGGGTTTATTATTATACAATTTTGTGTTTGTCAATTATATATTTTTATATAATAGCTTGCGAACTTCTTCAATGAGAAGTTTATAAAACGATCTGCATACCTTATTTTATCTACAATAAACTCAAAGTAATGTTTTTTCAGAATTTAATAGTATATTATTATCACAAAACTAGAACTTCTAGTTTTGTGATTATTATACATGAGATAATGCGCATTATTTCGAGTGTACCATTGAGTGAAGATTCTTTAATCAATGGTAATACTACATTTTCTACTCCAATTAAGTAATTTTCATTGATAACAAAATTTATTATAACCTCACTTTTCCCCGATTTTAAAGATCACTATAGTCGCCCCTCATATATATAAACAAATCTGACATCTGTTAACCTTACTTTTTTCAATTTAAAACCCGATTGGTTCAAATAACAGTGAATATTAATATCAGCCAATCACTGATGCCTAACAACGTGAATAATGAGTTCATTAGTCACTTGTTAGGCCGGCCTGGTTACCATTATTTACCAAAAAAATCCCAAATAATGTCAATAATATGCCATAGGAGTAGAAAAATTAGTTCACATTTTATTGCTGTCAGTTGCTGGCAAGCGGTTTTAACCTCACTTTTTACCAATCTGACATCTGTCAGACGGGTTTAACCTCACTTTTCCCAAAGTGACATTTGCCAAACAATTTTTACATCACTTTAAGTGCACTAAGAAACTACCCAGGTAACCAAACGTAACGAAAAAGTGACAGAAATTGTATGTATGTTTTCTTTATCGTCACGTGTATAATCGTCGAAACTATATCAATTTTAAACTCAAATGTTTCACAAAACCGCTCACCTGCCGTTATAACGTGATCGTCACGTTAGCGTTATCGTGATTTTAAACCGAATCGACATAACGTTTACGTGACGCTGTAATCGCGATCGATCGTTACTAAATCAACACGAAAATACAGTTATATTCGATTTTGAATTTGTGACCGTATCTTTAACCAGTGGCTGGTGGATTTTTGGTATATATACCGGTATACCAATATCTCAGTTATTATACATAGGACCCAAATCAAACTTTTATGAGTTTATAATAATATTAAATTGAAGTTTGCGAAAAAAATAATTTTTTTCAGCCCAGTCCCCTGCCCCCCTAATTAAGATAATGCAAATTAAAGTGGTGCTATTAATAACTCAGTGCAGTTTATCGACAAATTTCAAAATTTATTTCAAATTCCAAGTAGATTTTATACCATTTAAACTTTTTTTTATCCTAAAATAAAATTTAAAATATGGTATAATATTTGTAATCTTGGATTTTTTAAATAAATTTTGAAATTTGTTATAAACTATAGTGAGTAATTAATTGCACCACCTTAATTTGAATCATCTTAATTAGGGGGGCACGCTGAAAAACTTAATTTTTTCGCAACAATTTTTAATTTTATTACAACTTCATAAAAGTTTTGGGTCCCATGTCTAATAACTAAGATATCAGTATACCCCAAATCCCCCAGTCGCGACTATAGTCACTAGTGGCGACTAGTCGCCACTAGTGACTATAGTCACTATAGTGACAGCTGTCTTTAACTAATCTGCTCAAGTCTCAGATTGCTGGAATTAGTCCTAAATTTTTACTATAGTAAGCTATAGCTATATACACTATTGGACAAAAGTAAAGCAACAACTGTATAAAAAATCTAACCCCAAAACGCATTTATTAATCTTTAAGAAATTTTGGATAAAAATACTTGAACTTAAATCTCAGTTTACGTGTTTGAGGGTTTTTAAAAAAATATTTTTAAAGCCCATTTTTTTAATATTAAAAAAACCTTCGAAAAATAATTTTTATGGAAATTTTTTTTCAAGTAAATAAAAAATATACTGTTAAATACCGTATTTTTGTTAGTATACCCTGAAAATTTTGTACAAATCAAATGAACAGTAACGAAGATACAGCGATTCAAAGTCGTCAAAAATGACCACTTTTCAGCAAAATAATCAAAAAGGGTCATTTTTACCGACTTTGAAGCGCTGTATCTTCGTTACTGTTCATTTGATTTGTACAAAATTTTTAGAGTATACTAACAAAAATACGGTCATTAACAGAATATTTTTTATTTACTTGAAAAAAATTTTCCGTAAAAGTTATTTTTCGAACGTTTTTTTAATATTAAAAAAATGGGCTTTAAAAATATTTTCTCAAAAAACCCTTAAACACGTAAACTGAGATTTAAGTTCAAGTATTTTTATCCAAAATTTCTTAAAGAATAATAAAGGCGTTTTGGAGTTGGATTTTTTATACAGTTGTTGCTTTACTTTTGTCCAATAGTGTATATATTTTAAATAATTAAATAAGCACAAAACACTGAAATGGAACAGGCTTCAGAAGAATTTATGATTAATTAATAATAATACCTTTAACAAAACAATATATTTCTCAAACAAAATTATAAAAACAATAAAAAACTAAATAAATACTTAACTCTAAAAAAATATATTTTTCTTCAAAAGGATAAAAACCAAATAAATAATTTTCTAAAGCATATTCAGTCAATATTTTTTCTTCTATTCGACATTTTGCTGTATTTCTTTTTTATTTTGCTGAAAAAAAGTATTAATGTGAACACTACTTATAGGTATACCTCCTCTACATAATAAAGTAAACAGAATTTTTGCATAATTAAGTTTTTAAATCAAAACCACTTAGGTACCTAGGTACTTGTTAAATATTTAGGTAATGTAATTATTTTTATAGAAAAACAATATGAAAAACAATACTTACAATTAACGCCTTCCAAAGAAAATAATATATAATAAAAACTAAACACAAGCTAATAATTTTTAAATAAACCAATTTCAAAACAAATTAGTTGCACAGGAACACTAAACAGAACAAAATCAGATCCACAGAACATAAGATCAATATACCTACCTAGGTACTTATTTGACAATAATGGCGAATTGAATAAAGAGTTAAGAGGGTAGCTAAAGACACGGTAAATCGTAAAGTTAAAGTCACGGTATACCGTGACTTTTGTTATAACGTTATAACGTGACAATAAAGTCACGTTTATATAACGATTAATTTAGCAAAGTAAGTCTATGGAAAATCGTGAAAGCATTGGTAAAGGCAGATTCTATATCAAATCGACATCTCCAAAATTATTAATTTTCGTTGAAGATATATAGGTCACAACTTTATAGTTAAGATATTGGCCACGTTAACGTCACATTTAAAAATGTTAGTCACGTTTGGTTACCTGGGTAATAGGTACAATGTACATTAGGTATTAAATGTAGTAAAAAAATAATAACATTACTTTACCTAAAACACAAATTGGAGCTTGTGCAGACTGAGAGACATCAAATAAATTATACAACAATGTTTGATTGTGGTGATTACAGAACAAATCAAACTCTTCTATGATAAATATAATACTTTTAGAGGTGTGTTTTTCCCCAGTTCTTAAACAAGCCAATAAGAAAGCCAAGTTTTCCGCAAAGGTACCAAACACTTTTCCATCAACTGCATTATCCAAATTCATTTGTGTGGTGGCGCTTTTCAGGGCCATACGATCGTCTGTGTGTACTAAACCATGGAGTTCCACAAGAATGGCATCGCTATCAAAATATTTCAAGTCTTTTAGTTCTTGTAAAACATTATTTACTAGCTAAAATGTTTAATATATATAAAAATGATTAATAAAATTTTTATTATACTAACTGTGGTTTTCCCAGCCCCTCTAGGCCCTATTAATAGAGCCGAATTTGATTCGCCATGAGTAATAGTTCTTTTCAATAAATCGAAGATTTGTTTTTTCTCCCTATCGTGCCCAATAAACTGTGTGTTGTTAATTAATTGATTTTTCAGGTAACAACGTATTTTCTGCACATCACTTGAAGGCGTAGACATTTTTATTATTTATTGTTTCAAAACACTTGAAAGCACAATTTGAGGTTAACATTGAAGTTTGCGCGGGATATGAAAATTATTTGAAATTCATGCCAACATAACAGCAAAAATATCACTAAAAAGTCACACGTCTTCAAAAAATGGTTTGACGTTTACGAGAAATGTTATAAAAAGTCTTGTTTACCTAATTACAAATATGTTTAAACTAATTGTGTACAGTTTATTGTTCATACAATTTTCTTACGGTGCTAAAGGAGCCTTAGAGTTAATTCAAGATGACGAATTAATGAATTTAATTAGAACCGAAAAATATGTTGTGTGTCTATTTACTCTAAACCACTGTGAAGAATGCGATAAATACGAAAACGAGTTAGTTAGTTTGCGAGAAGATCTTGTGGAAACATTAAACGCATGGGTCGTAAAAGTTGTAAACAGCCAGATGACAAGGCTATACAGCCCCAATAAGGAGCCTGCATTAGTGTTCTTCAGAAATGGTGTTCCATTATTGTATGATGGTCCTTTGAATGATGAAATGATTATGCATACATTTTCAAGCAACAAGGATCCACTGACCAAGGAATTGACTGATGATAACTTTGAGCATTTAACTCAGGCCGCAACAGGGGCTACAACAGGTGATTGGTTTGTTTTATTCTACACCTCTGAGTGTGTGGATTGTCAGAGGTTGCAGGCAAGATGGGAGGCTGTTGGGGCTCAATTAAAATTACGTTTAAATGTGGCCAGAGTGAACAGAGGCACAACTGGGGCAGCTACAGCCAGAAGATTTGAAGTTTTTAATGTGCCAGCATTTATTTTGTTCAGACAAGGAAAGATGTACCGTTATCAGATACAAAAATATGATGTTCAATCTTTTGTTAGCTTTGCTAGAGAGTTTTACAAGAATGTCAAGCCTGAGAGGGTACCTTTGCCAAAGTCGCCGTTTGATGACTTGATAGCTTTAATTGTGGATTATTTGAGGCAAAACCAATGGTTGTGGATGGTTGGACTGGGGACATTTGTTTCTGGATTGATGGCTTCAGTTATTTTACGTTTTGCTCCCAAGAAAAAAGACAAGAAGACTGAATCTAAGAAAAATGATACAGAAAAAAGAAAAACTAAATAGGTTGTGGGCATTTGTTTTTATTAATATATTTTTTAATAGAATGATTTTTAATTTACAATTTATTAATCAGAAGATGATCCCTCATCCTGTTTTTCCTCTTTATTTTTAAGTTTATTTAATCTTGATATTAGTTCTTTAGCTGGATTAAAAACCTGAGTTGGGACATTGCATACAAAACATCTAGTGGTTTTCTTGGATCTTTCCACAACACATTTTTCGCAAAAATAGTGCTTACATCTAAAAAAATTTTTTATTAATGTTAAAATACTACTTTATATTAAAACAATTTCCAACTTTGTAACAACAGGGTCCACAAAACTTCCTCTACAAATAACACATTTAAACGGAAGATCCTCCTCATCAGAATGTATTTCATATGTTGCATCTTCATCATCATCACTTGCCTGACCATATTTTCCCTCATTCCACTCTCTTTCCAATTGCCATCCATGCTTGTAATCACTTCTGTCATGCAAAAACTTACAACTATCTCCAAAACCACAAAAACCTGTTTCCTTGTAATCCTTACAAATATCTGGCTGGTAATCCCATCTTACTGTTGCTCTTAAGTTTGCTGGAGCTCTTATTGGACCTTTTCTGACCATACCTAAAAAAAGAAGTATAAAATTAAAGATAAATAAAAAAAAATGTTTTTATAAAATAAGTTACCTGAGCTAGCATTTCCAGCAGCTGTATCTTTGGGCTTATAGTATTGAGTATAATTATTAATACCCCTGTATACTTTATCGTCCTCCTTTCCTTCTAAATCTTTATTTATTTCCAATCTTTTTTCAAAAATAGCTTGTGCATCCCGGTCTTTCTCAGTTTCAATTTCCTACAAAACACTTTATAATAACTAAATAAAACATATTCACAATTATTACCAATGTAGCAGTCGCTCCTTGATCCTGTGGCCCACTCGGCATTGCTGATCTTTTAGATTTGTAACTAACCATTACTTCATCACTGTCTTCGCTGGAACTTCCATTTTCATGTAGCTTGGATTTAACAATTTTACTTGTGCTTTGTACATTCGGGTTTATCTTCGACTTTCGTTTAGATGTTTTTATTACTGTTTGTTCTTCCTCACTGCTAGACTTTTCTACAAATCCTTTTATAAACTAACGTTTTTAAAACAAATATACAAACTTACCTTTATCAGAATCGGAAGCTTGTCTTTTTCGTTGACCTCTACTCGTAAATTTTCTTTTTTTAAAAGTAAAGGTACAATTATCTTTTACTTCTTTGGACATTGTAAACAAACAAACTTTCCTGTATAATCTACAATGAACATAACCTAACTATATATTTTTGACGCACTGTAACAGTTTAACTGTCAAAAAGTGTTATCTTAGTTGCCTATGATAATATATTTTTAAAATAATATTTTACCTTTTTAATAGTAATAATAATTTTTGTCATAGAACATTAAAGAGAATATTAAAAAGTAAATAGAGGAGTTAATATTTATAAATAATACAATAAAATATCCTCTAAGAAAATACCACAATATTTAGTTTGATTATCAATTAAATAACATAAATATTACTTTTAGTAATACCAGGAATGCGTTAAGTATTACAGTAATGAAAAATAAAACAATAATTAATTTTGAATAATAGAATAGTAGATCAAAGGAAACCCATGTAATATAAATTAATCCGTTCATTCATTCATTTTCCCTCGGTTCTGCCCATTTTCACCTGTGAGCGACGCATGCGCCCTCTCGCGATTCAAATCAAACGAATTTCAGTTGATTCGAAAGCCGTGCGAGCGGAGGTGTGTTGATATCGCGGCTTAGTACGATATTAACCTGTTAAATAATTGTAATTTCAAAGGGAAATGTTTGTGGTGATAACGTGAACCGTGATTCGCCAGTAATATAGATTAGATAAGGATTTGTGATGTGTATGGTGCCCGGCATAAACAAACGCAATATTTAAATATTTGAGTGACGCGAGATTTGTACAACAACAAATTCTCAGGTAAGTTGATGGTCTATCGTCTGGGCGTTAACCATTAAATGGTATAGGAGGCCACGACACTGCTACCATAAAATTTATTGCTTATTTTCCTATTTTTACCTGTATTTTTTAAGTACAGGTGTTTAAAATACTTTATTTACAACTATTGCATCTGGAAATGGGTGTGTGCATTTTAAAAACAATTGAATGATGATTAGTTCATGACTCACTTGGTCAAGTTTAAATCATAATGACAAAACTTAAATTAACCCAAGAATTTCTTGGTTCCATAAGTATTAAGGCCCTTAGGAGTTTTGAAAAGTTTTTAAGGCCATGGGTTTAAATGATTTCTCGATAAATTACAGTTGGAAAATGGTACCAAACACCATTAACCTGCATGTTTGTTTACGTTCTAGAGAGTCTTATCACATGCACTTGGGCATTTTATGAAGTTTTTTTGTGTTTTTTAATGTTATTTTATTTTTGCGATTAACAAATTTAATAATTAGGTAGTTACTTATCTACTTTTTATTTATTGTCAGCAAAAGCAGCAAAAAATATTGTGAATCTACCTTTAATAAATGAGTTTAGTTTTAAACAAAAAAGTAGGTATAAAAACACGAATTAAGCTAAGAAGAGTTAATTTACAAAGAAAACATTCTCTTATTAATATTTAATAGACAAACTTTAAAGACAAATATACAATCCCATTTATGATATAGGTAGGTAGGAAATGTTTATTTTAATATGACTTGTTTATTTTTTGGAAGGTTTTTGGTTTTCATAGTACCTAGAAGCTTCCAACTAGTTAATTAAAGGCAATCCTTATTTTTTATAACTTGTCTTTTAAACAAATCGTTTATTTATGAAACCTGTTCTACCAAAAAGTTTATTTTATGAATTTATTGTAAAAATATTTTTTGTAGTGTGACTGATAAATTAATTTATTTATTCCAATAAGATCGTGTCGTTAAAACCGCATTTTAAATTGGAATTGAGCATAATATGCCAGGTATTTAAAGTTGTTAACATTTGATACATTCATTGCATTTTTATAAGGTAACTTGTAAAAAGAAAGAAGACATAAATATTTTATAAAATGCCCATTATTTTTTGCTTGAGGCAGCTTGACTCTCTTGTTAGGGTAATTTCACCTAAAGCCAGATAATCAAATTTTATGATAAAATTTAGACACCCTCTGAAACCATTATTAGGCAGTTTAATGAAAATACCTACCTCCCCATAAAAATCATGGCAGCTCTCGATTTCGCCACTTTGGCAAATTTATCTGTAGTTGGCTGCGACGCTGTACATTTCATTTTATTTCGTCGGTAACTCGATTATGCCACACACTTCTGTTTCGCACCCCTTCCAAAATTTATTGGCAAGGGTGCAGTTTTACGTACCCCCGATTATCCTTATCATCGCAGATTCATCTAGCTGATACGGTATGACACACAAAATGTGGCCTTACGCAATGATTATCTGTTTGGCTGTATGATTTTTATAGCAAATGGAAAATAGTAAATCAGTTCATAAAAATGGAGCTCTAAATATTGCTTGTGTTTGGATTTCAGTTGTTCTGATCTCCTAAACTAATAAGGTTATGTTTCAATTTTATTGAAGTTTGAAAATAAGGTTCAATTGTTCCGGCAAAAGGTAAACAAACATCAGTATTTTTATAGATTTTAACTACGGTTTCGCGAAAGGATCGAACGGTCGATTTGCAAGGGTTCAAGAAATCGATTGAAACTTTTTTACCTTATTTCTACATCTTAATGCAGTACTTTTTCAAAAAAAAAAATCTAGTCCATTGACAACTTTGTTTTTATTTTAATTTTTTTCTTCGCTGTGTTAAAAATGAAGAAATTTCATTTTTTTTAAATAACTTTTTTATTTCAAAACGTATCGATTTGAAATTTTGACAAAATGTAGATCTTACTAATTTCAATTAATCCATGAAAAAATTTTGTTTAGATTATAACGTACAGGGGGCGCTGGTGATAATTTAGTTTAAAATTTGACAATTTTTAAAGGGTAAATAATCGAAGAAGCAACTTTGTTTTATAAATTTGAGTTTAGCACGTGAAAGTATTGATATTTGACTATTATTTGATATATTAACTTTTTTATGCAAATGATGTTTCTGTGGCCAGGATCAGTTTTGAATTAGCAGTAGCAGTATTCATAAATGCTTAGTTTAGTACATTTTGTCATTTTTATACAAATATTGTTTTATCTTTTATTAATAATTAAGTAAAGCATAACACATAAATGACGTTTAATATACAGGGTGTTTCACGTACTTAGTCCGTTGGAAGTTTCTAGGGAATCGCGAAAGACATCGATTTAAAATTTTAATAGCGTAAAGTATTCGCTTTAGACTCTTTTCCTAAATTATTTTAAACAAAATAATACTTCCTGTTTTACCGGAATACCTCATATATTTTTACATTATTTAATTCTACATAAAATTCTGAGTAAAATGGCTATACCATATCCTATACCTAAAGTCAATATTTTTTGAGTTTATATTTTTTCAATCAAATATTTTAATTAATTTTAAACAATGACAGATTTGGTGGTAACCATGGATACTGTTACATTAAACCACATGTAGAATTTCAGAGGTTTGTTGATACAAAATAGTATTGAAAATATTAGAATTTGTTAAATGTCTCTGAAATTTTAACTTTAGGAAAGAGTTACTATAATACCAATCGAAAGATTATTTAATGTTCTACCTTTAAAAAACTAAACAATGTTTTAATATTCCAAAAATTCCAACCCCATGTCAACAAACAAATTAGAGGCTATTTTGATTAACGTGCATTTTAACGAAAAAAATTAATATCTTGAAAACTATTGACTTTATGTATAGTCTAAATCAAATTGTATATTCTATTAAAATTTCAAATCCATACCGTTTGCGTTTCTCCAGAAACACCCTGTATAGCATTATATTAAATATAAAAAAATGCAAAATAACTAATTACAAAAAATCGAAAAACAAATGAATAAAAATATAGGTAGGTATATCTAAATAGCCGATTGCAACATAAAAAGTCTTTATTCTAATTTATTTATTGGGTAAATATTACTTTCCTCAGTTAGGAATTAAAATTGAAGCTTGTTTATCGAGTAAAACATAAATTGAAGCTTGGTTGTGGAGCAAAAAATAAAATTAAAGTAGGTTATAATTTCTAACTTGCTGATACTGTCTATAATTATTATTTAGTGTATTCATTTTAATAAATTAATATTTTAAGTTTATAGTACACTTATAAATTGAAACGCAATCAGTCATTTGCAACTTATAAACTGAACTGTTAAATTATCTGTCATGCTTCCAATGTTAGGTTACCATAGAGATAAGTCTGTGATGCCTACTATGATCAAAATTAGTAAACTTAAAAAAAATTAAAATTTATAAATAAAACAAATTTTAGCTCCATCTATGGCGATTTTTTTAAATAAATATGTAAGAATTGTATGTTATATATAAAATATTGTATGTAATATATAATACATTATCTTATAAAACTAGTTAAAAGAATTTATAATTTGTAAAACACGTTAGTATTACGCTCTTTGAAGGCTTAACTTAAAAATGGTGTCTCTCGTAGAAACATAATTTGCATTTAGAAGTTTATATATCAAATAATAGTTAATTATCAGTAGTTTAACATGATATACTCAAAATTATAAAACAACGTTGCTTCTTCGACTTTTTAACCCTTAAAAAATGGTAAAATTTTAAATTAAATTGTCCACCGTGCCCCCTGTATATTAAAATCTAAAAAAATAATACGTGGATTTATTGCCACTAATAAGGTCTACATTTTATCTTAATTTCAAATCGATACGTTTTTAAATAAAAATGTTATTACAAAATATCGAAATTTATCTATTTTTAACACAGTAGAGTGACTTAAGGCCTGAAAACCACAGGGGTCAATGGATGAAATTTTTTTTTTGAAAAAAAAGTACCATTTAGATGTACAAACAAGGTAACAAAAATATATTCAATTCTGGCATCACTTGCAAACAAATGTCCAAAATTTGTTCGATTTTTACGCGAAACCATAGTTAACTGTTAAAAAAATCAGTTGATTTATGTAGTAATTTTTGCGTACTTAAAGTTTTAAAGTTTTATTTAATTTATTATTCGATTTTTTTACAAATTAATAGAATAAGACAAGGATTAAAAATTTTATAGACGGTTTTGGGGATACAAAATAAATAATTTGATTTGATCTGAACTCCTTGAGACATTATAAGAAGAAAGTTCTCTACCAATTTTTGAAATTCCCAAAATTAAATAGGTATAACACTTTTTGGTAAGCAA